AGTACTAATGAAACACAGTGGCAATGTTAACAGAATACGGGTAAGTATTTGAGGACAGTTGTGTTTATGAAACAATGACTGTATTCTCAGAATTGTTATGCTGTTATGTACTTATGGTTCCAGATCAATATTTGTTTTCTTACATATCCTGTGTTTTTTGCATATCATTACCAAGAAATAGTTCACCTTTCTTGTTAAATTTCATAGTTGATAACTGCAAAATGTGTTTTTGATTAAACACTAACACACCCTTGATTGTCCAATGTATTATAGAATGCACAAGAGTCATCCAAATTTTACTGTAATCTCATTAAAATCAGATCTTAGTTCTCGCTATCGCTAAACAAAGATCTGAGGACATCCCATTATGGGTCACGTCAGAACGACCTATCATCCCACAAATCAAAGCGTCGCTTACCAGATCATGAAAGCGACAGTCGGAATGTGTTCTAATCATGCAACCATGAAAACGTTAACATGGGGTATTCCGAACGACAGTTACGGCCAGTACGACTGATTCTGTCAAAATTCTCGTCTATCTATTGCTTCCGTTGGATAAACATTTGAACACAGGAGGAATTGCACAGTATGTGGAAAGCACTGATATACCATCTCAACCATATTTCAGACATACAGGAATGTTTGTTTATTCAGTTAACATAATTTTTATCGAAAACTGTGTCAGTGTATTTTTCAAGCATAGTCTGAAATGAAAGTCGCCAGTTTGAAACGAGTGCCGTAAAGCTCGAGAAAGCTGCTTTCTAAATTTGCTGATGTCGACTTCTTGTTAGTCATTTCATTGGTCGGTCAAAGTTTGTTCTGACGTGACCCTTAATGTGATGTCCTCAGAACTTTGTTTAGCAGCATCGAGAACTTAGATCTGATTTTAATGAGATTGAATTTTACTGTAGCTTCATTTTTATTTTTTTAAGTCAACCAATATTGGACAGAAGTCAATTGCAGCGTCTTGGTCAGAGACTGGTAAAGTTCATATCTGGGACTTGAGTCGGCCACTAAATGCGGTGAATGATCCAGGTGTTATGGCAACATACACAAGGAATCAAGAATCTCCACCTCCCCTCTTCACATTCACTGGTCACCAAACAGAAGGCTTTGCTCTCGACTGGTCTCCAACAATCACAGGTAACGCTGATCTGGAGCCCCCAAACATAAACCTTTTTTCTTATGTTTTTGTAGCACCATATCTTTTATAAGCATCCCTGTTTTGACCATATTTTATGCCATAAGTGTAAATTTGGTGTAGATAAGCAAGCCATTATCTTCATTTGAAAGTAGTCTTTTACTGACATTTGAAAGTTAGCTTTTTTTGAAAGATAGGCAAAAGTGAATAAACAAACCCCTCAAACAACCTATGTCCCCTATATATGTCCCCAATCCCCTAGGATTGTCTGAAATAGGAAACACACATTTCTTTTTTGGGCCTAAGGTTCATTTCTAATCCTGCTGACGGGAAACTTTAGTTCAAACATTTGTCCAATGAAATGGGAGATCTTTATTACATTGTAGTTGTATTTGCAATTTTTATTAATGATAAACTGATATACCATATTTTCAGATAGCAAGCAGTGATGCAATGTAATACTATTTAATTACTGTAATAACTATAACTATTACTCACTACTTCCCTCTTATGGTTTAATAATTTAATTCACTTTTTCAAACTTTTGGCCTTTCCGGAATAGGTCCTAGCAACTGATTGGATAGGTTGATCAGGCTTGGTGACGTGCCCCACTGAGTACTAAATGGTGTGGGACATTGTGCATATCAATCACTGATTTGTCTGGCCCAGACTTAATTTTTTACAGGTGACCATCATTAGCGTCAAACAACAAAAACGCTTGACTGGTATTACTTGGGCTTTCCCTCCATATTTTAAGCGGATATACTGCGATAAAACAAATACTATTCTGTCACAATGACACACCACCTCAATCTTATTGTTGTTAACTTCGTCACTTTATTACAGGTCGCTTGCTGAGTGGTGACTGTCACAAACACATCCACTTATGGACCCCGCAGGAAGATGGGAAATGGTTGGTTGACCAGCGACCATTCATTGGCCATACAGCATCTGTTGAGGATGTGCAGTGGTCACCTAATGAAGATAATGTGAGGATTACTTGTGGCTATTTAATGTCCATGTATAGGCCTGGAACTATCATCTTGTAAAAATAGACACGATCAAATACCTTTCATGAACAAGCACTGTTAGCACAGAGTGATGCTCAATAACCCAAATGGAGTATAAAAATCATTTCATTGTTCACAATACTGATAACTATCACTTTAAGCTGTAAACATTTTGATTAATTGTATCTCACAAAACAGTTCATTGCAGTAATCATTGTACTGTCCTGATTGTGTTACACAGAGCCTAAGCACAGGCTATTTATGAACATGGGCTGTTATAAATTTGTTTTTATGAATGTTTTGTAAATAAGAGACCTGCAAAATATCATACGATCATGTAATATCGAGAAAACCAATAAGTTCTTTGTTGTGTCCAATATTCACACATGGCTACTTAAAGTCCTAAATGCATCATTAAAGTTTGATACAACGGGGACCTTATCAAAGGTTGATAATGACTACTCAGGGAGTTCGGTTCGTTGCAGCTAATGTTTCTATACAGTGAAAGTCCAGAAAGTCAGCATACTGGATGGTTACACAGTAATACAGTTCAGCACGTTGACATATACAAAGGGACATAACTCCACACCCATGTTATTTTTCTGGACTTCACTGGAAATTTCAACAGAATAAGATTTTAGCTGCCCCATGGGATTGTGGGTTGGAATAGGTTCCCAGGTCAACCTTGTCCTCGAAGGCAACTAAACTGATGGGGTGGTCAGGCTTAGTGACTGGGTTGATCATGTGTGTTTGTACCCCGCATCATTTGTCTGTCTCCCAGACCATAGAGAAAGATTTCAGAAAAAAAGTCCTACTCAAGTTCAGATTGCCTCAGGTCTAGGGTCTGTCCAAATCTGCAGGGCTCACAAGCAGGATTCTGGCTTGTTTTTAATCAGTTAATCTTGTACTGTCCACTGGTGTTTACAGCTGATGTGGTTGACGCCCACGGACACCTCTGGAACCCTCTCTCCCTTGTCTAAATTTAATGAATGCCAACTGTGAGTTTCCGATTAAACAATATATTGGGTTTGGGCTTTGTGAAGAGGAAGCGTCCCTGCATTAAACATTCACAGATATATTTGCAATGGAATCCAGTAAGATATAAAGAGCAATTCTGACTGCACTTTTTAAGTTTAATATAAAGATCCGTCAGAATCAGAAAAGAGTTATTGTATTGTACTTGAAAGGAAAATATCTGTTATTTTATACATAAACTGGAAGTGGAAAGTCACTAAAATTTGAAATTGCATCATTTATATACAAAGAGCTGGAAAACAAAAGAAAAGCAGAGAGGAGGGACATCAAGGGAGGTGGTCAGAAAAAAGACTAGCAGTGACATGTAAACAGAAATGAGAGTTGACATTGACAGGATTACAGAAAATTAAACAAATAAGAGCTTTGCAGATTTCGATAGTCCCTGACATTAAGGATTGTTCTGGGCTCCATTAAGATCTTTTATTTTGATTTTGTAGACATATATTTGTAAACACTGTAGTTTGTCTGGTCCAGATTGTGTTCAACCTGCTGCCGAGTGTGGCTTTAAACGAGGGATTCAGCAGACAGGGTTTGACTGTATCTGATGGACATTGCATGCATTGTTTTCCAGGTGTTCGCCTCCTGTTCTGTTGATCGAACAATCCGAGTGTGGGACGCCCGGGCCGCTCCGGGAAAGGCTTGCATGATGACAGTTACAGATGCCCATGATCGGGACGTCAATGTGATCCACTGGAACCAGCACGAGCCCTTCATTGCGTCTGGTGGAGATGATGGGATGATCAAGGTCTGGGATCTTCGACAGATTCAGGTTTGTATCCTTGTATCATACATCTGTCTGTTATCAATTCAACGGTTTCATTTTAAGTGTTGCAGCAACAATACGTTTTATCATAGAGTTGATAATAAGTCATGTTCAAAGGTGTTTTGATCAATAAGATCTGACAGTTAATTATTGCCTTTGTCAATAATACTTGTTTTGTAATGTAAAGATGCTTCATAGGAGTATTTGCAAGATCAGTAACTAAACAAAGAAAGCCTAGTTTGTAGCTATTAATTTGCATTTCCTTATTTGTTAGTATGGTCACATAGTAAATCTCTTATTTGCCCGTTAGCGAGAACTTCAAGGACATAACAACAAATAAGTGTTTTGATGGACCCTGATAATACTATCTTGTCTGAAATGTATCTATGATATCCATGTCGGTTCTGACTACATAAAGGAACATAATTGTGTCATCATTGCAATGCAGGAAAGTAAAGCAGCTGCAAAATTCAAACACCATTCGGCACCAATCACGTCAGTCGAGTGGCATCCAAAAGACAGTTCTGTGTTTGCTGCGTCAGGGTCGGATGACCAGGTGTCGTTGTGGGACTTGAGTGTGGAGCGTGACAAGGAAGTTGCAGGGACGACAGGAGGAGAGCCGGGGGAGCCGGGGGAGCCGGGGGAGCCGGATGTGCCCCCTCAGTTGTTGTTCATTCACCAAGGTCAGACGGACATTAAGGAGATTCACTGGCACCCGCAAATGCCTGGAGTTATCCTAAGCACAGCTCACAGTGGATTCAATATATTCAGGACTATAAGTGTGTGAAATGAAATGGAGACAATAAACATGAAATGTGGTCTAAGTTCTGTTTTGTTTTGGAGTGACAGTTTCACTCTCCAATATAATATAGCATTATTAATATTTATCTGCCTTGGACAAGGTTGTCATTCTCAAAGGCTTCGTGCACAAACTCCGCTGATCAGCAGAGAGCCATAAAGGTTTATCTGACCTTTGCCATGGACGTTAAATTAGCTCATTCATAAGGTGACTTATATACTAAGGAACAAGTTGCATGCAGAGAAAAACAATATGAAAACTTATTTGAGTAAAAACTGTATTTTCACAATGAAATACATACTTCATAATCATCAATAAATAGCTATAACTCTGATTAATAACAAGTGTGTGTAGAGATGGTATGTGAGTGAGTGAGTGAATTGGCTTCAGATCCATGAAACGACAGCAGCAATATTGATTTATATAAACACCTGGACTCCACTTCACAACTTCTACCCATGAGATAAACCCAAGTCTTCATCGTAACACAACAACCATTTACAAAAGCTACTAGGATACCCCAGTGCCTATAAGTTTTGACAGACTGCACTAGGGCTGCGACAAGTCCAAACTTAGTACCCTGGTATCTGACCGTACCTGGGTACTAATTGTAGGGCTCAAGAGTTGGGAAGAAAATTCTGATTGGGAACTGTTTTACTGCAGCCCTTGCTAAAACTATTTAGATGCACATATATAATGATCTCATCATACATGTACACTAAACTTGACTGAAGATTTGGATGAAAGTCAGAAAGAATCTGAAGATAAGCAACTCGTAGTATAACCATAGTGTTTTATTGTTATTTTCATGAAACAATATATCACGTGACTAACCAATGGTGCGGGTAGTCCTGTGTGTACCTGGGTCCTACTCAGGACTCAGCCAACCTGAATGCCCGAGTTACCTGTCCCAGCCCTAGACAGCACTGATGTAAATGAAAGACTAGGCATACAAGAATATGATGGTAGGACTTAAAATGCCCAGAATCAAAACCTGTGTCATGTCACCATTTGATTGCCAAAGCATTCGTCATTTTCTCCACCTCATGATACTTGGTATGTAACGTATGTCTGGCTTTCTCAGTGTCCCTACCGCCCAACCATTCTGTGTACAGCTTATTTACACTCTCCTCACAGAAAGGATCAATAGTCTTTTCTGAGTTGTAGAGTTCATTGACTTTGTTTAGGCTTTCTTTGGCATTGTCACCCTCTTGTTTGATCTGTCCACCACCATTAGTGCACCCTGATGGACATGCCATGATCTCCACAAAATGATATGGACATTTCCCTCTCTTCACTTTCTGTACAATATTCTGAATGTTCCTGAACCCATATGCCAAGGCCATCTTCAGTGGTGGCTTGTCTGGTACCTGTAACACTACTTCTTGAAAGTCCTGATTCCTAAAAGGAGAGCAAGAAAAATACAATATACGGTTAAATACAGAGATCATAAACGATGATCTAAGGTCATGTACACGATTAATTGCCAGGTTGATATTGTTCATGGGAATAGTACCCCACCTACCCGAACACCTTGTACCCCACCTACCTGAGCACCTTGTACCCCTCCTACCCGAACACCTGGTACTCCACCTACCCGAACACCTGGTACTCCACCTACCCGAACACCTTGTACTCCACCTACCCAAACACCTTGTACCCCACCTACCCGAACACCCTGTACCCCACCTACCCGAACACCTTGTACTCCACCTACCCGTACACCTTGTACTCCACCTACCCAAACACCTTGTACCCCACCTACCCGAACACCCTGTACCCCACCTACCCGAACACCCTGTACCCCACCTACCCGAACACCTTGTACTCCACCTACCCGAACACCTTGTACTCCACCTAGCCGTACACCTTGTACTCCACCTACCCAAACACCTTGTACCCCACCTACCCGAACACCCTGTACCCCACCTACCCGAACACCCTGTACCCCACCTACCCGAACACCCTGTACCCCACCTACCCGAACACCTTGTACTCCACCTACCCGTACACCTTGTACTCCACCTACCCAAACACCTTGTACCCCACCTACCCGAACACCCTGTACCCCACCTACCCGAACACCCTGTACCCCACCTACCCGAACACCTTGTACTCCACCTACCCGAACACCTTGTACTCCACCTAGCCGTACACCTTGTACTCCACCTACCCAAACACCTTGTACCCCACCTACCCGAACACCCTGTACCCCACCTACCCGAACACCTTGTACTCCACCTACCCGAACACCCTGTACCCCACCTACCTGAGCACCTTGTACTCCACCTACCCGAACACCTTGTACTCCACCTACCCGAACACCCTGTACCCCACCTACCCGAACACCCTGTACCCCACCTACCCGAACACCTTGTACTCCACCTACCCGAACACCCTGTACCCCACCTACCTGAGCACCTTGTACTCCACCTACCCGAACACCTTGTACTCCACCTACCCGAACACCTTGTACTCCACCTACCCGAACACCCTGTACCCCACCTACCCGAACACCTTGTACTCCACCTACCCGAACACCTTGTACCCCACCTACCCGAACACCTTGTACCCCACCTACCCGAACACCTTGTACTCCACCTACCTGAGCACCTTGTACCCCACCTACCCGAACACCTTGTACCCCACCTACCCGAACACCTTGTACTCCACCTACCCGAACACCTTGTACTCCACCTACCTGAGCACCTTGTACTCCACCTAACTGAACACCTTGTACCCCACCTACCCGTACACCTTGTACTCCACCTACCCGAACACCTTGTAGGTTCTACTACACCAAATCAAAACCAGTTTGGACAGTGCGGTTTTTGTAGGGAGCCTTCAGTGTAGATCGAGAGATATCTGCAGGCTGTGATTTGAGCATATTCTGTAAGATTTTTATGTCTTTCAAATGAACATCCATCCAGTTATTAAAACTGACCATGTTTTTCTATATTTAGTACTGTCTTTTTCAACATGATGACTTATGCTGAATGTGACCACAGCTATTTTCAAGTAGGTGACATTTGGTGCGAAACTGGGGGTGGTGTGTTTAGCTTCCGGTACTCGGAAAAGGAGCTGACTAAGCTAGTCATTTTTATTTTTTTTATTGCTGCTCTAAGGCCAAACTGTGCACACACATACAGGTAATAGCTGTTGAATGCTTAGTTATCTAAAAAAAAATCATAACGTTACTATAGAAGTCTATGGGAAAACATTTGGTTGTGTGTAACCTGTACTCCACCTACCCGAACACCTTGTACTCCACCTACCCGAACACCTTGTACTCAACCTACCTGAGCACCTTGTACCCCACCTATCCGAACACCTTGTACTCCACCTACCCGAACACCCTGTACCCCACCTACCCGAACACCCTGTACCCCACCTACCCGAACACCTTGTACCCCACCTACCCGAACACCTTGTACTCCACCTACCCGAACACCTTGTACTCCACCTACCCGAACACCTTGTACCCCACCTACCCGAACACCTTGTACCCCACCTACCCGAACACCTTGTACTCCACCTACCCGAACACCTTGTACTCCACCTACCCGAACACCTTGTACTCCACCTACCCGAACACCTTGTACTCCACCTACCCGAACACCTTGTACCCCACCTACCCGAACACCTTGTACCCCACCTACCCGAACACCTTGTACTCCACCTACCCGAACACCTTGTACTCCACCTACCTGAGCACCTTGTACTCCACTTGCTGGAGCTCCTCGTTGCCAAGTTCCCGGGCTGCGTGCCTCACAACCATCTCCAGATAGCCCCCAGAACCCCCTCCACGATGACTTGCCAGCTCCTCACCCAGGCTGTTGCTGAGCCTGAGAAGTAAAACACTGGAATGCTCATCTGTATCAAAGGCAGCAAACATGTGATACTGGTTCATGTGAAACAAAAATATTGAACATGTACATGTTGAAATGTTATCAAGCTAAATCATTACAGAAGTATTCACTGCATCCTTTTGGGGGAAAAGGACGACAACATAATGAATTTCATGTGAATACCACCACTGAAATATCAAGTGAAATTCAGTCATAAGTTTACATTGAAAAAGATTTTAAACCCATGAACAAATTGGGGAAAAAGACATAAAAGTGACCGCATGTTAGAAATTATTGGGATTTGATAATCAAACTTAGTCATGAACAGTTTGTTCTGACCATTCAACTTTGGTCAATCAGTTTGTTTAATTATCAATTATAATCAGTTGCTATTTTTTAATGTGTATTCTGAATGATTTGAAATTTTCAGAATCCATATAATGCATAAAGAAAGAAAGGTTCACATCTGTATCATTAATTTGGCCCCATTGTCTGGTGGGGCAACTGGGGCTTACAGTGTATCGATCGGCTGGCCCTCTACATCTGACAGTGCTACTCCTTCCTTCTCCAGCATCTTCTCCACCTCCCCTGACGTGATGACACAGTCAACGTCGCGGGTCTGATACATGTCACTGTAGAAGTCAGAACGGGATGCCTCCAGCTTCTTATCAAAACATGGCATCACCGTCACATGATAGATCTTGTCTGGGCGCAAGTTATGCATTGAGGCAAAGTAGTCTTTGACCAGTGACCCCATGATCTGTTGAGGTGACTTGGTGGAGCTGATGTATGGAAGGATGTAGGAGCCATGTGTCTTCTCAGCATAACAGATCCAGCCTACAATTAAAAAGAGTGAGTTTGGGTTAACGCCGCTTTGAACAGTTGCCAGTTACGTCATGGCATGTCAGCTTCATGTGTGAGGAAAGACTAAAGTGATGCAACCCATGCTTCCCGTAAAAGGCGACTAACTGGATCAGGTGGTCAGGCTCGCTACCTTGGCTGATGCATGTCATCGATCTCAATTGCATGGGTCGATGCTCATGATGTCAATCACTGGATTGTCTTGTCTAGACTCGATTAATTTACAGACCGCCATCATATAGCTGGATTATTGCTGAGTGCGATGTTAAACAACAAACAAACAAACAAAACTAAAGTGATGCAGGTCTTAGACATTCTTCTTTGGTGAAACCCACGAGCACGGGTATGGTGCTGACAAAGTAAGAAGCAAAATCAGGGTGAATCTGTAATTCGAACCCATGATCAGATATTTCTGGCATGCCTGAGGGATGCAATTGCGTGCGAGAAAGTCTTGACATAAATTTAAAGAAATGGCTTTTTTCTTCACCTCATGCTTTAGCAGTATTACTAAATGCAGTACAACAGTCTATGTACAGCTACAAGCAGTCCCTTATTAAGCTTCTGTCACTGATTGCAGTACAAATTACAATACAACCTGAAGTATGTAGAGAAGGCTCAGGAACTTGATCAAGGCTATCTAATCACTACAGAAGCTGTTACACCAAGAGATCGTCCCTTAAGTTGTCACTAAAATATGGAACTTTTTTATCTATTTATATTCAATAAATCAATAAATGTTTCAGTAAAATACATGTGTCGTAAATCAAGTTAACATAATGAGCATGATGAGTGAGTTGGGTTTAGCACCACCTTGAACAGTATTCCATTTATATCAAGGTGTGTCAACTTTATGTGTAAGGAAAGCCCTAAGTGATGCAGGTCTTAGACATTTACCACGGGCACAGGCATGGTGCTGACAAACCTAGAAACATAGCTGGGGCAAACCGGGATTTGAACCCACGATGATAGGTTTCTGTCATGACTAAGGGATGCAACTCTGCACAGCAAATTGCGGTGCCTTAGACCCGTGCCCCTATTATCATGATGATACACAGCAAATGAATCAATCTTTACTGGGGTCCCTCTAAAACCTTCTCACCAGGACATGCAGATGCTAACATCGGGACTGCCTTCTTGTTCAGTTCAGACTCCTTGTACCGTCTTATAAACTCATGGCAGCTTTCAATCAGGCTGAAGTTCCGTGAGAAGGAGGTATCAAACACATGGTGAACACCTGACAAATAACCAGACATATCATCTCAATGTATAAAATTAGCAAGCCATTATTTGCTTTGTTACTCTGGATGGATGATGTGAAATGTTTAACTTTACATAATATTTGTATTCCTTGTACGTAATGTAAACTGTCATACCTCTTTGTACCAATTCAGAAATCTGCTGAAATTCCTAGACTTAACCATGTTAAAAGAACAAACATTTCAAAGGTCAAAATGGTACCAAAATACTGAAAAACATGTTACATTAATGCTCAGACCTACAAAATACAACTTATAGTGAGTGAGTGAGTATGGTTTTACGCTGCTTTTAGCAATATTCCAGCAATATCATGGCAGGGGACACCAGAAATGGGCTTCACACATTGTACCCATGTTGGGAATTGAACCCAGGTCTTTGGTGTGACAAGCGAACGCTTTAACCACCAGGCTACCCAACCGACCCCAAATACAAGTTATACACATTTGCATAACCAGCTAAGTGAGTGAGTGAATAAAAGTATGGTTTTACACTGTTTTTAGCAATATTTCTTGGTTGGAGACATAAAATATGGGCTTCACATATTAAACACCCATGATGAGCAAATGCTTTAACCACAAGACTACCCCATCACCCACAACCAACTAAGTAATGGTCCAAGATGGCTACTGTGTTGGCCATATTGAAATCTGATGAGGAAGCACATTTATGTGACTTTGAGTAGGATACATGCAAAGACATGGTGCTCTAACACATCTTATATTGAACCGTAATCTACTGTTCATTTACATCATCAAAATTTATATACATTAATATACCATGCAATATGTACCTATGCCTTTGAAGAAACCTGTGAGTTTTACAGCAGTTTCCTGCATATTTAGCTTGTATCTAGCTGCCAAGGATGCTCTGGCCTGGGGGCACACGGACACAACAATGGTCTTCACATCTTCGACCTTGCCCTGAGGAAGAAATGGTTACATGTTTATTGCTATTGCAATTAAATTGCCAATAAATTGGTACTGTTACTCCTTAAACAGATTCAGCCAAAAAATAAGTTGCACCTTAACATGATCAGTTTACAATAGAAGATTTATCGCTTTATTCCTGAACAATATAGCTGTTATGTAGAAATAGCTGCGTAAAATGGGGTTTAACATCGTGTTCAAGATTTGTGTGCTTATGTTTGCTAGCGACGTGCATGCATGTGTGTGTGTCTGCTTGTACTAGTCGATACCGATTTCATAGTGCTAGCCCACTGAGCTACCATACTGCAGTTTAACATGAATACCCCACTCAGACACAGTATACTGACTCTGAGCCAACCAGTCCTTGTTTTAGTACCTTAATGCTGAGCGGCAGGCAGGGTTACAACAAGCACCATCTTTTAACGTCTTTAAGTATGATTGAACCCTTGACATTACGCTTTCAAGGTGGACGCTCTACCAGTTGACCATGCAGGCAGTCTAAAATGAATTGTGAGTCAACACTATTGAATGCTGATCTGAGTCAAATATGATGTTCCAACATTTCTGCTGAAACTTACCTGTTCCTGTAGTGTGTTGTTCTGCTGAAGTATACGGAAAAGCTCTTCTTGGCTCTGTTGTGTGATCAGAACACTTTCTGCAGAAGTGATGCAGCCACTGCAGGCAAGACAATCATTGAGGGTTATCTTCGCTTTCTCCAGTTTCATTTCTACACCATCCTTGAAATGAAAATGTGGAATGAATAAGGTTATTTTTTACTTTTGATAATTGAATCTATTAACCATACTAGCTACTTTACAAACATTGCCAAACCTAAATAATGTCCTAAACATTTTATTTACATGCACATGATAATTGAACTATAAATATGTAAAACACACGCACACAATTTACCATGGTCAGGGATTGTTCTATGCATTGAAAATCCCTGCATGAAGGATGCTATTTAAAGGGTAACAACACTAAAACTTTCAGTCGTCCAGCCAGCACCAGTTTAATTAGCCTGTGTAATCTCCAGAAGCCAATTAACATCAGCGACCCAACAAACTGAGTTTCTGACCAGTGAGGGACCAACTGGAAAACCTTGCTGACATCGAAGATAAATCCCCTTGAATACTCGCACTTGAGTGGATGATGATTTACTATAACCAGGGTTAGAAACTAACAGTTTTTGTCCACTAGTCCTTATAATGATAACATATAGCAAAACCCTTAAAACGGGCCAATTTCTACTAGTCCTTAGGATACCTTTACTATTGGGCAGTTTGGTAAGGACTACAGGACTAGTCCCAATTTCTAACGCTGATAACCTTTCACCTTGCAAATTTATTTACGTGTGTAAATGTCTATGTACAACTATGTAGTTTGGTATACAGAAAATATGTGTACATATTATTTTTGCAACAATGAAATTCAGTTCAAAGACAACAGTAACGACCCTTATTTTTCAGGCAAATTGCATATAATATAACATTTACCATTCCCTTCTTGTCATCCATATTTAATGGTATAATTCTCCACCTGTGTATTTATTGTCATTCACTTGATGCTCAGTTAATGACTTTATTACAGGTATAATTAGTGGTAGAACTACTCAGATTACCTAACAAAGTCTGCAAAAATATTTAAATAACGTTCACCACTGCCTATGAGGGTGTCAAGGTAATAAAGCACTCAGTTGTTCGCATTGTGTCTGGGATAATTATTTAATCTACGATTGGGTTATATATCCAGGTCTGATGTGATAAATGTATTACAGTTTATGTAATATGCATGTGGCACCGCAGCAAGAGAGGAATGATCAGCAGAGTTACCGAAAACATAGATTTTGAATCCACAAAGAAAATACCCATCCATATTTCAAGACTTTCAAATTTGGAGTGTTGCTTCCCTTTTAAAACTTAGACTTGCAGCTCTTTCAAATAATCTTATGGCAGCCTACGACTAGAGCCACTAGTCCAAAGTGACAAGTCAAGTTTCTTTCTGTCTTACCAGCTAATAACTGACCATACACTTACACTTCAATGTACTGAAAATGATGTAAAAAGACATGTTCTGCCTATCAAACTGAAAAAGTATGGCACAGACTGTTATGTTTTCTATGAAAGTCAGTAATACTTACGTCAGTGATTGATGAATAACTTCCATCATCACCTATCCTTATTTTCCCAACTTTGCCTACTTTTCTTTCCACTTTGACTGGCTTTATGCATTCCTGAAACAGACAATGAATTTGACTCATTAGACATGTTAAAGGGGCACTGATCTAACGGACTGGTTGTTGCCTTTGTTATTGTTTTCCCCCCGTGAGTACCCGGATGATACGCAACGCAACTGAGCGTGACCAGAGACTGGGGTACCGTCTGCAAGGACAGCTAAATAAACTTGGAGGCTGGAGGCAATATTTGTTTTACGCAGCCTAAACAAACAGACAAAAAAAACAAGGGAGCTCATCGGATGTCGTCATTTGGAAATACCCCAGATGGTTATAGTTTAATACTAAAAAAAATATCCATGCAGTGAAACCTTTTTCGGATTTCGGCTTGCGTCGATAATACGATTACTACTCCCTTGTTGTCATCCACGTTTTCTCGTATAACCCTACACTTGTGTATTTGTTGTCATTCACTTGATGCTCAGTTAATGAATTTATTACAGGTACAGTTAGTGGTAGCACCACTTATATTACCTGACAAAGGTTCCCATTTGGCATTTATTGTGTCTGGGGTAATTATTCAATCTAAATCCAGGTTTGAAGTGAGGTGAAATGTGTGTTATGTAATATGCACGTGGCAGCCCAGCAAGAGATGAATGATCAGTTGATTTACTTTTTTTTGTAAATCAACGGATCGTTCCTAGTCATCAAACGATTAACAGAAAATATGTTGATTGATTAATCACTGTTATCTTGCACAGTGGATATGTCAAGAGTGAGTGTTTACATGTCTAGGTTTACTAAAACAAAGGGAATACACTCATATCATGGCGCGAAGTGCCGATGTAAAAACAACATACTTTGTTCAAAGGGTTAACTGATAATACGTTGATTGATTGATCATTGTTATCTATCACTCAATGGAATTTTTAGGAACCGTGGACGCTATGAAAATAGTTGTCACGTGGGCTTTCTCAGCCGACCATTGAGACTTGATACCTATGTAAAACACCTGAAACAATCCAAGCGATCAGTTGAGAAACGAACACGGGTTATAATATCTGCATTTTGTTTTCCTTCATTTGAACCGATTCTTTCTTGTTTCTCTACGTCTTGGTTGGGAAATTCTTCAATGCGCGATAGACGTTGTTGTCACAGGTCTTTTCCTTTGTAAGCGTGTATATATTACCGTCAATTTGTAAAATGTGATTCTCTCAGGCAATTTATAAAATGTGTAAATATTTCAGTCATTTTGACTAAAAAATCTGTCCAGATTGATCAAGACGATCAAAAGGGCCTACAAACATCACAACAGATTATTATGTAGGATTAAAAGCCAAACAACTTAGAAATGTACTTTTCAACGTTACATTTTCAGTCTCTTGGTGATGACATTAAACATCAAAATGTTTGGAATTCGTTGTCATAATAATACAGATGGAAATGTCTTTCCGTCACTTTGTAAAATAACTGAATATTTAGACGTTTAATAAATTTGTTACACATTTGACAGTAAAAAAAATACACACTATAAAAATAGCATATGCTCAGGTGAAATATTTACTTTGTGTTGCAAGTCAAAATAGTGTAAACGAAAATCGCAAAATTACCAAGCAAGTGACTTATCAAAACTTCGTCACCATTACCGATGATACTCACAAAGATACCTACATTTCCTTATTATCTCGAAAACTGTATTTCATTTTGTTGATCAATGTGACCATACGCCCTTATTACTACCCATAAAGTGACTAATGCGCTTACGAATGGCGCAGCAGAGGTCGCGAACTAGTCTAGATTTCTGCTATACATCCGGGTATTCACTGGGGAAAAACAATAACAAAGGCAACAACCAGTCCCAGGGAATTGCGTTAGATCAGTGCCCCTTTAAGAGTGAAAACAAAAAAAATACAAAATGTGACACTCTTTCAACCAATTACCTCAGTTCAATAGAGTTTCAAATATTCATCGATCAAACTTCAAAGTAGCACATTAGGCCTACCACATAATTTTTTTTATCATGTTTAGCTACATCCCCTGCAAGCTCCTAGATACATTACATATGTAATCTCTGGTCATGACAAAAACCTCATGACAACAGAGCTTTCTCTGACAGAAGTCGAAAATGTAGATAAGTAAACTAGGCACTGTTAACATAAGAAATCATGCTCTTTAACAGATATTTCATGTATTTTCTCGACTAAATTGACCAACACAATGAACTTAATGCCAACAAAAACATTTCACTTTTTGGAATTCCAAATAAAAAGACAATTGGGATCATATTTTTTTATCTTTGAAAATTTAGAGTATCGAAAATATTTGTTACTTTAGTTATTTAGATTACTCCAAAACATTGGAAAAGATTTCTCGATTTTCCCACGAAACAGGCTTATCCAAATTGTTCGACTGGCAACTTTAGCGAAGTTGTTGTCTGATGGTAATCAGCTGGTATAGGCTAACACTAAAGCATGATTTCTGGTGACATAAGCCTCCAACTTCCATTCTATCGATTGTTAAGATATTAATATATTAAACACGCATATACACATATATTTTACAAACTAAATATGACTGTCAACAACCTGTGATGGGGTTATGAAATCGTCTAAGTCAGTTAGCTGAAGTGCTCCACTGAATTGGGAGGCCATGTTGATATTCTATAAATGTGTAAATGCTAGTTAGATGACAACGTATTTTAGTGCCATAGCATCTGCATTGTATTTCGTTAGTAAAATAGACAGAATAACTTCACATTTGTATTGATGTTGCATCTGTGTGATATATTTAAAAACATATATAGATAATTTACAAAAAATGCATTCCTTGGCCAGATAAACAAATTATAAATGTTTGAATGAAGGTAATTAGTTCTACTTTTGCGAATGTTTAAAAGTATTTCAACCAATTAAAAGGGTTCGTATGTTTTACTGCTGGGATGAGGTTACCTGTTTCCGGTGATTACTTCCGGTAAATCAGTTCGACACTAAGAGTGACTTTGGAAAATTTGATTCTTGTTCTTGCACTCTTTTAGCCATTGACTTGGCACCATGAGCATTTCAAGTAATGGAGGAGATCCTGTCATTCTAGCGACAGCTGGTTATGACCATACTATTCGATTCTGGCAGGCATACAGTGGCATTTGTAACCGCACTGTGCAACACCCAGATTCAGTATCCTGTCAAAATATTCTAATTTAGACGTAATTAGACTCAAGTTAACATGACAATGTCAAAATGTAAAGATCAATGATCATGCATTTCTAAGCTTATTTAAACATGTTAATTGTCATGTTGATAAATTTGTAATGACTTAATTATTAGCGGAGCAAAATGTTGAGACAATAGGTTCCAACATATGACATAGGCCTTGTGCAAATATATTTTACAAGGAGCATCCTCAGTACATGTAAAGGTTTCAGCCAAAAACATATTAAAGCAAGACTGCAGCTTACTGGGTTCAGGAAAATAGCTAGTTATTAGGCTTCGTCTGTGGCTGGTTCTTCACTGCATGATCTCTCTTTCGATCCTCATAGTTTTTCTGTTAGCAAATGGTTAGTTATGCTGTATTTTATTTTCCCTTACATCATTCTCAGCAAGTAAATGCATTGGAAATTACACCAGACAAGCAACTGATTGCAGCTGCAGGTATGTTTTACACTTTGTGTGTGTAATTATGCTGAAGCCAAAATAACTTATCCTTGGCTGTGATGTATAGAGTACTTGTCAGAAGTTCAAGATCATGAACATGATGAAGTTGACATGCCAGATTATTTAGCAATATCATGTTTACGCCATTTCTCTTTCTGAATAGTTTAGTTTTTTGTAGATTATATAATATCAACAGTTCACAGCTAACTAAAACGCAAAATTGCGCTTGAACTGCAAGTCCACCACTTTTGTCACCATCCTGGTATTGTCCCTATTTTATGCCACTAATGTACTGAAATATGGATAATTGTTTTCTTTGCGGAATCAATATTTGCTTAATATAAACTATAATTTCGACTAGTTTGATTTGTGTTTGGTGCTATTCTCACTGCCCACCTCGCCTCATATCGGAGGATTGAGGCATGATAAGCGGTACACCATACCAAAGGATATGCAATAACAAGCTGCAGCCAAACTGACATGCATTATTTTTGTTGATGAATGCATACACGACTTGAAAGAGTGAAGCTATCGGTCAACATCATATAATGAATGGACTATAAATAACTACATAGTATCCCATCAGTGAATTCAGGTAAACAAACGGGTGATAACAAATGTGGTCAATAAACATGTGAAATTTACTGTTCCATGTGTGCAATTTGGAACCTGGGTCAATGACAATGGTGTGTGCAAATTTTGAACAGTCGATTACCATCTGTTGATTATATATGTTATATAAAATATACATCTATAATCACTTTTGTGTTTCTTTCTTTTTGCATAGTATATTTTCCAATAACCAGTTACTTTAGTTACAGCTTTTACTATATATATTTAAAATAATAATAACCATAAGCGTAGCACTTTGGAACAACTTATTGCTATTTTTAGGTTTGTTTTAGATATAATGAAACAATTTTATCAGTCACTAATGATGCCTCTCGCATTTTTGCTACAGCAATTGAATGAAAACAAAATACAAATATCGTAATTACAACTGACAAAGTTATATGTATAATATCTGGCAGTTACCTTGTTCGAGAATTGTATGAGTCAATACCCACATGTAGGAACAATATCCCATACATCTGAAACTGTACAAAGAAATTTGTTCAATGTCATGTGTCTTTGTTACAATGTAATATTTTGAAATAGCTATGTTCATGATGTCCACAGTTCTTCAAAAAAGGGGGCGGTCGGGTAGCCTAGTGGTTAAAGCGTTCGCTCGTCACACCGAAGACCCGGGTTCGATTCCAAACGTGTGAAGCCCATTTGTGTTGTCCCCCGCTGTGATATTGCTAAAAGCACTCACCCACTGTTAAAAAAGTCCATTGAGTTGGTTAGTAATGTGCAATCAATCAACATATTATCGACTAATCCTTTGAACAAAGTATGTTGTTTTTACATAGGCAGATGGGTGTATTCCATCTGCTTTAATAAACCTCCTGATATATACACTCACTTTTGACAAATCCACTGTGCAAGGTAACAGTAATTAATCAATCAACATATTATTGGTTAATCCTATGATTAATGTTTTTTGTAACTCATCTGACCATTCCTCTCCTTCTATGCTGCCACACACATAGTACATAACATGTTATACTGTATTCGACGCAATAAGCGCCCAGGGCACTCTCAAAATTAGAAATAGGGGGCTCTTATTAGACTATCATTTTGGTGAAAGATTGTAAATTTTGTGGTTTATGCTGACAGCCTGAAATGATACAAAAGAAAAGTCTGTGCGTATTATACACCACAGATATATTTTTCCATAATTTAATTGCCCGTTATTAAGGGTGCATATAACACATTAGTGCGTATTATACACAAATAAATAAGTCTTGTGTACATTGATCAATCGGAAGGGTGCTAATGATGATTGTTCACTAGCCAATATATTATCAAATATCGCCATGGGTGCTTATTAAAGCGGGGCGCTTATAACATCGAATACGGTACATTCACCACATCAGACCTGGATGTTTAACCCAATACTAGATTGATTACTTACCCCAGAGGACAAAAATGCCAAAGTGAACCACTGATTGCTATATTTCCTTCACATTCTCAGAGGCAGTGGTGAACGTTATTGAGTTATATTTCATAGTCTTTGTCATAAAGTCATTTACTGAGCATCGATTGAATGACAACAAATGCACAGGTGTAGATTTATACCATGAAACATGGATGACATGGAAAAATGAAGGGAGTAGTAACTGTTGTGTTTATATGCAATTTGCCTGAAAAATAAGGGTCGTTGCTGTTTTGAGTATATGAACTGAACTTCATTGTTGCAAAAGTAATACATAATTTCTGTATGCTAAACTACATAATTGTACATACACATTTACACATGCAGACGGATTTTGCAAGGTGAAAGGTTATAATAAGCATTATCAAATCAAGTGTGAGGATTCAAGGGAACTCCACCAATGGCCCCCTCAATGGTCTAAAGCCCAGTTTGTTGGGTAGCTGTCACTAATTGGCATCCGGTAATCATGTGACATCTAAGAGTTGGAGCATTGTTTCCCTGTAAGCAGGCTTTTACAGACATTCTGCAAATTACAGTTTTCAACATGTTCAAAAGAAAAAAAACATTTAAGAAAATCCCACAATTGACATGCTTAGTATTACCTACCCTATTTTTCAATGTGCTGAAATAGGTTCATACTGAAAAGTCGCTTTACAGTAATGAAATATGTTGTTATCCATAAATTGTGTCTACTTTGAAATAGGAAACACTCTCATTGCTTTTGATGTCAGTGTCTTATATGATTCCAGCCTACTTAACTTATGCATACATTTTCACGATAAACTTAAAAGTCAAATTTTTGGTGGTTATAATTATTTGTTTTGAGACAGAAAATATCCCCAGTACCTCATTGTTACAGTAAGAGCTGACTGAAATCCTGGAAATGGTGATCAAATGGTGTATAACCATGATAAGTCTTGTGGATATATGGATATGAAATATGATAATAACATAGCAACATGGTAACATACTCATTCATGTGGCATATGTAGGCAAAATGTACTATATGTTTTTGTTTGTGTCTTTCTTAGGGTACCAGCATATTCGGATGTATGACCTCAACTCTACCAACCCCAGTGCTGTAATAAACTATGATGGAATATCCAAGAATGTGTCAACAGTTGGTTTTCATGAAGAAGGGAAATGGATGTACACAGGGGGTGAGGATTGCACTGCCAGGATTTGGGATCTCAGGTGAGTGAGTTATAATACTGTGACCCACCATCATCTTAATGAGACATGGGAGTTAACAGACTGTAAAGGTCCAGTTCCCACCCTTGCTGAACTAGGCTGAAATTATGAAGTTATATTTTGACTAATGAGTCTATGCATATTCTAATCAAAATCGCGTAAAGAAATTGACATCCAGTTTGTAAACTGCGGGGGAGATGTTGGTTGATTGTAGGATAAATAGCCACTAGTGGCCATGGTGGCGCTAGGATCGAGGCCAGAAATTCCAACCTAGTTGGGCAATGGTGGAAACTGGACTTTCACAGTCAGTTAACTCCCTTGCCTTTGGAAGAAGCCCACCAAGAGATAAGGGAACTTTTGGGTGAAAAATCATATTTTGACTTCTCATTATCTTAGGAACACAAAAATACAATTCACGCATGTCACAAGCTTCAATTCATATTTATTACAGAGATACATGACATCAAATATTTGGACTCATTTTCCGACTTATAACTGGTTATGTAAAAATTGCCGCTTTTAGCATGTTTAGTGATAATGTCTGATGAGTTGAAAGTAGACATAAATGCTGAAAGGTTTTGAAATAATGTTTTTATTAGATTACAAGCTAACAAGTGACAAATAAGATATTTTGTACAGTCTGAACACATGGCGATCTTCACTGAAGAAATTTGACGTCAAATGTCTTATAACGTTATGACGCCACAGCACAATTGTCTCCTAGCACCCATAAGGTCCCTTTTCTCCTGGTGGGTCACTAATAGTGTTGATTACAGTGTTTCCCCGACACATACTGAACAAATCAGCATGACTATCAAATGTCAAGTCTCTGCTTTGTGTTCGCCATTTCCTGACCTTGAGCTTAATTTATTTATTATCTCACTGTTTTGTACACACAAATTTTAAATAAAAAAGATCAAAACATCATGATTATGTTGTAAAAAAAAGGCGTGCCTTATAACAATGGTAGCTATGTTATTGGTGTAAAAAAATAAGTAAATGGTAAATAAGGTTGAAACTTATTTTCCCAGATCAAGGAATCTACAGTGCCAGAGAATATTCCAAGTAAATGCTCCTGTGAACTGTGTTTGTCTCCATCCGAATCAGGTACATGATGTCATTTACTCAAGAGTAAATAGTTGAGTCTGCCCAGACAAACCAGTGGTTGATATTATGAACAACTGTCCATGTCGTTGGGGTTACATTGTTACACCATCAACTAGGGGTGAAATGATGCAGGTCACGATACGTATCTCGATACATAGGTAACGATGTGATAGATATTGTGATACACATATTTACGCAAACTGTGTGGAAACTTCTTCACAATAATTATTTCGTAGCATGTTCTAAAGGAAAAGCTAGCTGTAGACACATGTACGTAGCTTTTATTTTTAGTAGTGACTTTTGAACACGAAATATAACACATTTTCTAATATTTGACTGACAAAAATTGTTGGGGGTCATTAAACGAGTAGTAAGTAATATATATTAGCAACTGTGTCGTCTTGTATTGATACAGAAGAAAACGCATTAAAACTTACAATGCACTGGTGCATTGATGTATCATTTCACCTCTACCATCAACCCAGTAACTGACCCTCGCCACCCGATCCATTGTGTTGCCTATTATGAATAACATTGCTGGGGACCTATTTTTACCATGGGGTCTCTGTTACAATCTGTATCTTGTCACATACCAGGAATATTCTTCAGGAAATGGAATATGTATTGATATGTATTATCAAAATAGTATTTACCTACACCAATACAACTTAGATTCCCCTTTTCATCAATACTACTTCCATTCCACCAAGTTTAGAATATGTTTTGGACATGTTCAACAGAAATCTTTTGAAAGAAGTAACTTGATCATGTTTATTTCTCTCACATCAAATTATTATTTTTCTTTCATTATACATGTATGTTATTTCACTGTAAGATTTTGGTGATAAAAACAATATTAGTTGCATATTAAGACAGTCTCTAACATTGTCTATTGTGTTTCAGGGAGAGTTATTTGTAGGTGATCAAGCAGGCTCTATTCACATCTGGGACTTGAAGACAGACAATAATGAACACTTTGTATGTAATTTGTGTGCCTTAATTTTAGTTATTCAGAATTCCAAAAGTCTATTTATCTACATCCTTTAACTTTTCAGCTTTTACTTTCAAAGTAAACAAAATAATTCAACCATCAGCAACAATTTTCCAAAGGTTTCATGTGAGAAAAATATATGATTTTGTATGTAAGAAGAATATGATAAGTAAATATTATAAATACGTATAACAAAAGCGTGTTTTATCCCTTTTAATGTGAGAATATAGTGAAAATAAGTGACTTCTAGTGGGACCTGTAACCTGACTCGTAGTGATGGAAGTATCCATGCAGAGCTACTATGGAGGACCATGCCTTTCTGACACATGCTTTCTGTTTAGATCCCTGAGCCAGATGCAGCAATACAGTCAATAAGTATTGACCCAATGGGAACGATGATGGCTGCTGTGAATAACAAGGTGAAATTAAACAGTTGAACACATTTCTGTTTCCTTGTACAACATTTTATAGTACAATGAATTAACATTGTACATTGTTGTATATATGCCTTCTCTGATGTTAATGTCTTTTGACCCCTGTGATGAGGCGGGTCAGAATTGGTCTTGAGCAACTCATGCTTGTCGTAAGAGGGGACTAATGGGATCGGGTGTGTGTGTGTGTCAGGCTCACTGACTTAGTTGATGCGTATCATCGTTTGTTTGTTTGTTTGTTTGTTTGTTTGTTGTTTAATGCTGCACTCTGCAATATTCCAGCTAAATGACGGCGGTCTGTAAATAATCGAGTCTGGACCAGACAATCCAGTGATTGACATCATGAGCATCGATACACACTATTGGGATCGATTACATGCATCAACCAAGTCAGCCAGCCTGACCACCCGTTCCCGTTAGTTGCCTCTTACGACAAGCATAGTTGCCTGTTACGGCAGCATGTCATCATATCTCAATTGCGTAGATCAATGCTCGTCATGTCAATCACTGGCTCTTCTGGTCCAGACTCGATTATTTACAGACCCTCGTCACATGGCTGGAATATTGCTGAGAGTGGCATTAAGCAACAGACAAAACACTTTCTTTTGGTTGTCTTTGAAGAGTTAGGTCCCTTTATCTGGTTTTGGATGCAGCCTACAAGTCATGAAGGCAGATATAAATAAAACCAGTATGAAAAGAACAAGTCCATGTTGTGCTTGTCATACATATCTTTGTTATGCCAAAATTCAGGAGATGAAAAAATTCAAAGAAGGTTGTCAGGATTGTTTTAAAATTGATTGAGTAAATTAAGCAAGAAGGACAAAACAGGGAATGTTCAAAATTATTTTTTCAATCACCAGAAAAGATATGAATTGCTCTGGTCTTGTTTTTTTTATAAATTGTTTTTAAACTAGACATTAGTCCCTATGTTCAAATATTTTTCACAGTATGGATTTTGTCGCAGATGTTGTGAATAGTTACTACTTGCTCATATTTTGTCCGTGCTGGTTCTAACCATCGTGTTGCAGGGCAACTGTTACATCTGGACACTGACGGGAGGCAAGAGAGAGGAACCAACACAGCTTCATCCAAAAACAAAGTTCTTGGCTCACAACAGATATGTCCTCAAGTGCTTGTTTAGTCCTGATTCAACGTAAGTAACAACTGCACGATGCTGACTGAATGTGTTTTTGGCCCCAGCAAATGTTGAGTAGTGTACACCTGTGAATGTGACTATATGTTAGGAAGTGTATTACGGAAAATACCACACATGTTGATGAAGGTAAGTCGGGAGGTGTTATCATAAACAATGATTAAAATGGGGGGTAATCATTCTAAAGTAATTTCATTTAATCCAGAATTGTGATCTTTCATTGTAAGTTACAATTTCAATGATTCATACATCACTGCTTTGTTTCAATCCAACTCATGATGTCAATGATCTTTACATTTCTGATGACAGATTGTTGGCTACAACATCGGCAGACCAAAAGTGTAGGATATGGCGAACAGCAGACCTGACCCAGCTGACGGAGCTGAAGGACAGTCAGCAGAGATGGGTGTGGGACTGCGCCTTCAGTGGAGATTCACAATACATTATCACAGGTACCACAGGCGTTGAGGGTCTTTAGTCCTGTCAGGATTTGGGGACAGTAATTGTCGTGTATGTTTGTAGCTAAAACTGATAGGCCGGAGGATCAGTTTGACTGAATGTGATGGCACTGTAAGGAGCAAGGAGTTAACTGACTGTGAAAGTCCAGTTTCCATCCTTGCCGAACTTAGCTGGAATTTCTTGGTTCGATCATAGAGCCACCAGTGGCTTTTATGGGTTATGTCGCTTCTATGTCCCCCCTATTGACCAATCAGATTCCACCACTCATATTACTTGCATTTGCTTCAAACAAAATTGCGTAACCCAGTGAAGATGATCTGACCGATAATCAAGATATTTATTGTAATGAAATGGGTCTTACTTCGCGAAGTGCATCAAATCATGTGATTACATTGATTAAAAACATGAAAAGATTTGGAAAATATCTGTTAATTCTAAGTTGTCAGTACACAAGCTTTGTATATGCTGCGATGGACCGAAATCTCTACAGTAGTTTACGAACCGGATGTTGATTTCATTACGCAATTTTGTTTGGACTATGCATAGACTCGTTAGTCCAGCAAAAATATAACTCATATATAATATAACCCAGTCAAGGCGATCTGATCGATGATAATGATTGTTTAATGAGTCCATAGGACCAGGTTATTGTAATTATCTTAATCGATATATTGGAATCTGTCTAAACTGGACTTGTGTACATGACTGACAGTTTAGTCTGGTTTCAACAGTCTTGATCAGAGAGATTATGGCAGGATTTCAAAGATTGACACATGTGCACATTAATTATGAGAAGACTTCTTTTTTGTGAAAATATTTGCAAAAACTTTGAAGATGTGTTTAATTTGTAAACACGATAGATAATATGCTTTGCTTGTGGTGGAGCATTTATTATTTTTGCTGAATTATTGGAATAGGAAAGAGGTCGACATTTGTCTGGTTTTATGTGATGATAACGTAACATGATAAATTTGAACCATAAATTCAGTTCAGTATCAACAGAGATCTGGATTAGTCTTAGGTCAGTTTTGACAGATTCCACTGTATTGGTTAAATATTTAGAACCATTTTTCATTTTGACCGAGCTGTTCAGATCCTCGGGGCCTCATACTAGCTAGCTGTGATTGGAATGTCTCGGTGCCTCATGCTGGTCATTGAAGGCAAGAATTCTGTGATTGGAATGTCTCAGTGCCGCATGCTGGTCATTGTAGGAAAGAATTCCGTGATTGGAATGTTTTGGTGCCCTATGCTGGTCATTGAAGGCAAGAATTCTGTGATTGGAATGTCTTGGTACCTTATGCTGGTCACTGAAGGCAGGCAAGCTGTGATTGGAATGTCTCTTTGCCTCATGCTGGTCATTGAAGGCAAGAATTCTGTGATTGGAATGTCTCGGTGCCTCATGCTGGTCATTGAAGGCAAGAATTCTGTGATAGGAATGTCTCAGTGCCTCATGCTGGTCATTGAAGGCAAGCATTCTGTGATTGGAATGTCTCGGTGCCTCATGCTGGTCATTGAAGGCAAGAATTCTATGATTGGAATGTCTCAGTGCCTCATGCTGGTCATTGAAGGCAAGCATTCTGTGATAGGAATGTCTCGGTGCCTCATGCTGGTCAGTGAAGGCAGGCAAGCTGTGATTGGAATGTCTCTTTGCCTCATGCTGGTCATTGAAGGCAAGAATTCTGTGATTGGAATGTCTCGGTGCCTCATGCTGGTCATTGAAGGCAAGAATTCTGTGATAGGAATGTCTCAGTGCCTCATGCTTGTCATTGAAGGCAAGAATTCTGTGATTTGAATGTCTCGGTGCCTCATGCTGATCATTGAAGGCAAGAATTCTGTGATTGGAATGTCTCAGTGCCTCATGCTGGTCATTGAAGGCAAGAATTCTGTGATTGGAATGTCCCGGTGCCTTATGTTGGTCATTGAAGGCAAGAATTCTGTGATTGGAATGTCTCGGTGCCTCATGCTGGTCATTGAAGGCAAGAATTCTGTGATTGGAATGTCTCGGTGCCTCATGCTGGTCATTGAAGGCAAAAATTCTGTGATTGGAATGTCTCAGTGCCTCATGCTGGTCAATGAAGGCAAGAATTCTGTGATTGGAATGTCTCAGTGCCTCATGCTGGTCATTGAAGGCAAGAATTCTGTGATTGGAATGTCTCAGTGCCTCATGCTGGTCATTGAAGGCAAGAATTCTGTGATTGGAATGTCTCAGTGCCTCATGCTGGTCATTGAAGGCAAGAATTCTGTGATTGGAATGTCTCAGTGCCTCATGCTGGTCATTGAAGGCAAGAATTCTGTGATTGGAATGTCTCAGTGCCTCATGCTGGTCATTGAAGGCAAGAATTCTGTGATTGGAATGTCTTGGAACCTTATGCTGGTCACTGAAGGCAGGCAAGCTGTGATTAGAATGTCTCGGTGCCTCATGCTGGTCAATGAAGGCAAGAATTCTGTGATTGGAATGTCTCAGTGCCTCATGCTGGTCATTGAAGGCAAGAATTCTGTGATTGGAATGTCTCGGTGCCTCATGCTGGTCATTGAAGGCAAGAATTCTGTGATAGGAATGTCTCAGTGCCTCATGCTGGTCATTGAAGACAAGAATTCTGTGATTGGAATGTCTCGGTGCCTCATGCTGGTCATTAAAGGCAAGAATTCTGTGATTGGAATGTCTCAGTGCCTCATGCTGGTCAATGAAGGCAAGAATTCTGTGATTGGAATGTCTCTTTGCCTCATGCTGGTCATTGAAGGCAAGAATTCTGTGATTGGAATATTTCAGTGTCTTATGCTGGTCATTGAAGGCAGGCAAGCTGTGATTGGAATGTCTCGGTGCCTCATGCTGGTCATTGAAGGCAGGCAAGCTGTGATTGGAATGTCTCGGTGCCTCATGCTGGTCATTGAAGGCAAGAATTCTGTGATTGGAATATCACAGTGCCTCATGCTGGTCATTGAAGGCAGGCAAGCTGTGATTGGAATGTCTTGGTGCCTCATGCTGGTCATTGAAGGCAAGAATTCTGTGATTGGAATGTCTCGGTGCCTCGTGCTGGTCATTGAAGGCAAGAATTCTGTGATAGGAATGTCTCGGTGCCTCATGCTGGTCAATGAAGGCAAGAATTCTGTGATTGGAATGTCTCTTTGCCTCATGCTGGTCATTGAAGGCAAGAATTCTGTGATTGGAATGTCTCAGTGCCTCATGCTGGTCATTGAAGGCAAGAATTCTGTGATTGGAATGTCTAGGTGCCTTATGCTGGTTATTGAAGGCAAGAATTCTGTGATTGGAATGTCTCGGTGCCTCATGCTGGTCATTGAAGGGAAGAATTCTGTGATTGGAATGTCTCGGTGCCTCATGCTGGTCAATGAAGGCAAGAATTCTGTGATTGGAATGTCTCTTTGCCTCAGGCTGGTCATTGAAGGCAAGAATTCTGTGATTGGAATGTCTCTTTGCCGCATGCTGGTCATTGAAGGCAAGAATTCTGTGATTGGAATGTCTCAGTGCCTCATGCTGGTCATTGAAGGCAGGCAAGCTGTGATTGGAATGTCTCAGTGCCTCATGCTGGTAATTGAAGGAAAGAATTCTGTGATTAGAATGTCTTGGTACCTTATGCTGGTCACTGAAGGTAGGCAAGCTGTGATTGGAATGTCTCGGTGCCTCATGCTGGTCATTGAAGGCAAGAATTCTGTGATTGGAATGTCTCGTCGCCTCATGCTGGTCAATGAAGGCAAGAATTCCATGATTGGAATATCACAGTGCCTCATGATGGTCATTGAAGGCAAGAATTCTGTGATTGGAATGTCTCGGTGCCTTATGCTGGTCATTGAAGGCAAGAATTCTGTGATAGGAATGTCTCAGTGCCTCATGCTGGTCATTGAAGGCAAGAATTCTGTGATTGGAATGTCTCAGTGCCTCATGCTGGTCACTGAAGGCAAGAATTCTGTGATTGGAATGTCTCAGTGCCGCATGCTGGTCATTGAAGGCAAGAATTCTGTGATTGGAATATCACAGTGTCTCATGCTTGTCATTGAAGGCAAGAATTCTGTGATTGGAATGTCTCGGTGCCTCATGCTGGTCATTGAAGGGAAGAATTCTGTGATTGGAATGTCTCGGTGCCTCATGCTGGTCAATGAAGGCAAGAATTCTGTGATTGGAATGTCTCTTTGCCTCAGGCTGGTCATTGAAGGCAAGAATTCTGTGATTGGAATGTCTCTTTGCCGCATGCTGGTCATTGAAGGCAAGAATTCTGTGATTGGAATGTCTCAGTGCCTCATGCTGGTCATTGAAGGCAGGCAAGCTGTGATTGGAATGTCTCTTTGCCTCATGCTGGTCATTGAAGGCAAGAATTCTGTGATTGGAATGTCTCAGTGCCTCATGCTGGTCATTGAAGGCAGGCAAGCTGTGATTGGAATGTCTCGGTGCCTCATGCTGGTCATTGAAGGCAAGAATTCTGTGACTGGAATGTCTCGGCGCCTCATGCTGGTCATTGAAGGCAGGCAAGCTGTGATTGGAATATCACAGTGCCTCATGCTGGTCAATGAAGGCAAGAATTCCATGATTGGAATATCACAGTGCCTCATGTTGGTCATTGAAGGCAAGAAAGCTGTGATTGGAATGTCACAGTCACTGCTGGGCATTGATAGAATTTGGACCAATGACTGGGATTTTGGAAATCTAACAGGCAGCTGCAGAGCTCCAGATAACTTTTGAGCAATTGAGTTTTTACTTGAAAGTTTCTATTTTAATTGGGTTATTACAATTTTCATTGGGTAACCAGTATTTTTTCACTCATCTTTTCATCATTTTATTTAGTTTTTCCCAAAATGAGCTAATGTTTTGAGATTTAAAAAAAAAAGTGTTTTAGATGTAATATGGGTTCTAACTTAAGTCTTGACTCGGAAAGGAAATTAGCTCATAATAGTGTTTTGGAAATTAGCTTTATTGTATGCATGCTGAAAAAGCTTCAATGGGTATTTACGTATGCTGTTTTAATACATTAGAGTTTTTAATTTATTGCATGCGTTTCTGTTAATTGAAAGTAATAGGGTATTGAATATTTTTGTGGGGTATTTTACGCAAAAATGCAGCTAATCTTTAGCTCTGCAGCTGTGACTGATTTGTATTGGGTAGTTGGTGTAGATCAGTGTGTTCTTAATGCAATTCATGCTCTTTGCTAACATTGTTGAACTTTGTACTTGCAGCCTCCTCTGACCAGATGGCCCGACTGTGGAGTGTTGATTCAGGGGAGGTGAAGAGGGAGTACAGCGGACATCAGAAGAGTGTGGTGTGTCTTGCATTCCGGGATGAGGTGGTCACATGACCTGTCACTCATGCTTTAGAACTGTGATACCTGTGTGAATGGACGGTGTGAAATGTGGTACAAGTGATGGCCAAGTTGGTGCAAAGAGACAGACATCCAGTCAGTTACCTGCCCCGAGTGTGAGACATGATATAGTCTGGGAGCAATAGTGAGAATGTTTACATTTATTATGGAGACTGTTGTTGATGAATATTTGAAGCAGGGAATGTTGCCTTCCTGCTGCTGAACTGTGTGTTGTGATCATGTGGAAGCCATACAACGCCTCAGGAAGGATTCTTACTTACACTTTAGATTAATCTGAGAATCTTGGTATCATTTCTTAACATGTTAAACATTAATGAAATATGTTCCAAATCAGATAAATTAGTATCAACCTGTTGGCATTACTGAAGATATATATCTAACATTGGATATTTACTCCTCTGAACAAAAGATGACTTGACAAATTATGAAACTTTTAATCCTTAATCAGCTGATAGCTACAGGTTGTGTAACTGTGTGTCATACCAACGGTTGGTTCTGTTTCATTTCAAAGCGTTGGCATGTTGGGTATGAAGTATCCAGCAAGCCCCACTTCTGAGTGACATAACACAGCTCTATTGAGGACTTTGGATTTTAGCCTGATTTGGTTTTACTGAGACATTTCCTTTTGATTTTATGATCAGGGTTTCACGATGCTACTGTAAATGATATCAATGAATACACTTTTATCAATCTCCTGTTGACATTTTGAATGCTTGTTCTGTTATTACATACCATGATGTGTGCTTTATGTAGAGATATCATGTACATCATACTCACTCACTCATAGTGGTAGCTCCTGTACTCGGCAGCACTGTTGCTCACGTCAAGTGGGCATGACTGACTGTTGGCTTCTTGGATGGAACATTCCATGTGGATGTTTTTATGGTGTCAAGCACCAGTAACAGTAGTTTTGTATTGTTGAATCTGTGTTATTGGCACTGGTAGCTACAGGAGATGGAGGGGGGCAGGTGGGGATTTTACAAATATGCCATAAAAAAGGGTCCCAGCTTCCAATTGTGGCACAAAGTTCATTGTTATGGGCTTGGCTGGGATTACCAGTATTGTTATTTTTTTATAATTATTTTTTTCTTTGAAAAGAGGAGCCGAACCAATTTCTTTGCCACACCACATTTATCCTGGACATCTGGCATCTCCAGCAAGCAACTTTTATTTGGGGGGTAAAACCTGAAGACAAATTCTGTTTTTTAAAAAGCCTCTCAGTCATGCAGGCCATAGAAGTTTATCATGTTTACCACTTTGTAAAATTCACAGGCATGTTCCGGTAATAGGGATGAATATGTGATTCAGAACGACCATTACCTTATCCTGACACTGCTAAGGCATGCAACTCTGCACAACATTATTATTACACAGCATAATGTTCAAGATAGCGTTTAGCTTCCTTATGTAACAATGTTGACAGAAGCAAATATCAGCTACAGCTGATTGCAATTGGTACATACTAGCTTCAACATCCAGGTACCCAGTACTCACTACTCAAAATTCAGAATAGATGTTATTTATAAAAAACATTTATTCACTCAAAATATTCTGTGATTTCCTTGTAGCTTGTATAGAGATTTATCTAGGATTACAAGCTAAGCAGGAAACTTTGGAAAAAAAACTTCGTTTAACTTGAAATTGGAAATTTTTGTAGTTTTAACTTCAACATACATTCAATGTAATAATATAAATCAAAGAAAGACCCTTGCACTGTATTGTCATGTTATCAGTGAAAGGACACCACAGACTCGTGAAGATCCGGGGTAGAATAGGTCTTCAGCAACCCACGTTTGCTGTAAAAAGCGACTCTGCTTGTGGTAATAGGCAACTAACGGGATCGGGTGGTCAGGCTCGCTGACTTGATTGATGCATGTCATTGATCCCAATTGCATGGATCAATGCTCATGATGTCAGTCACTGGATTGTCTGGCCCAGACTCTATTATTTACAGACCGCCGTCATATAGCTGGAATAATGCTGAGTGGGGCATTAAACAACAAACAAAAAAAACAAAAAAAACAAACACCACTACCAAGTCATGACATTTGTTACAATAACATGAATTGTGAACATATAATTTCAATTGGGGAAGTTTTGCTGACATTTGCTACAGGTTTTGGGTTGGATATCATCCCCAGAACAGGTCTAGATAAACCCCTGTTGCAAGTTGCCTTACATACATACATGATTATCACGAGATATGTGAACCTGCAGTCCAAATGTGTGTTGCGACACCCTGTTTGTGGGATACATCTTGCAGGTTCTCTCATTGTTAATGTTGACAGTTGTTGCTGATGTGTTTTGTTTATGTGACTGCTACCCCTGTTGATAAATGGTGCCAAGTGAAATAAATCAGTACCAGTATTATGCCTTTATGTTTCAATTGTCATGACCTTGTAACTTGCATTCTGCGATCGTGAGGCCACAAGACATCTATTATCATATTGTTTGTTTGTTTGTTATTTAACGCCTCACTCAATAATGGTGACTCTACAGCTGGGTTGCCCAGGTCCAGGAGCGACAAAGAAGGTATTGATGACTCTACAAGTGGCTTGTCCAGGGACAGATGCTATAAGGAAGGTTTTGGTGACTCTACAGCTGGCCTGCCCAGGTCCAGATGCTTCACAAGGATGATATTGGTGACTACAGCTGGCTTGTCCAGGTCAAGATGCTACAAAAAAAGGTATTGGTGACTCTACAGCTGGCTTGTCCAGGTCCAGATGCTACACAAGGATGGTATTGGTGACTACAGCTGGCTTGTCCAGGTCAAGATGCTACAAAAAAAGGTATTGGTGACTCTACAGCTGGCTTGTCCAGGTCCCAGTGCTACAAATAAGGTATTGGTGACTCTACAGCTGGCTTGTCCAGGTCCCAGTGCTACAAATAAGGTATTGGTGACTCTACAGCTGGCTTGTCCAGGTCCAGATGCTACACAAGGGTGGTATTGGTGACTCTACAGCTGGCTTGTCCAGGTCCCAGTGCTACAAATAAGGTATTGGTGACTCTACAGCTGGGTGTTCCAGGTCCCAGTGCTACTAATAAGGTATTGGTGACTACAGCTGGTTTGTCCTGGCCCAGATGCAGCAAGGGTGGTATTGGTGACTACAACTTGCTTGTCCAGGTCCCAGTGCTACAAATAAGGTATTGACTATTTGACTATTTGAAATTGCCTAGTTCAGGTCCAGGGGCAGAAAGCAAGGTCTTGTTGACTTTAAAAGTGGCTTGTTCAGGCCCAGGTGCAGAAAGGAAGGTCTAGTTGACTCTACAAGTGACTTGTTCAGGTCCAGTGCAGAAAGGAAGGCCTAGTTGACTCTACAAGTGACTAGTTCAGGTCCTGTCACAGAAAGGAAGGTCCGTGTGATATTCCAACTGGCTTGTCCAGGTCCAGTGCTGGCTTGTTCATGTGTAGGTGCTACGTCTCTCAATAACTTTGAGTGTTGGGTACGGCAAGCCTCGAGGCAACCATTTTATACCACTAACAAGTGATCGTGTCTGTCGTAGGTCAAACGTTATGTGGCTGATGCATGCATATTGCTGACTCTTGGCTCCATTTACTTGCTCGGGTATTATAGTCATTATTATTGGAGACTCCCTGCCTCGGTTTTGAATAAACCTACCCCAGCTGAAAATGTAATTCAGGGCTTGCCTTTACAAGCTCTACTTGCTATCTAGCACTTTACAAAGTTTTTGACTTTTTGTGTATTTTAGGGTACACACAGGCGATCTAAGCTTATTAAGCAAAGTATTAAACTGTTATCTAAGCCATCTTAGGCTACTCGTGGGTTTTCTGAGCTGCCTTAGGCTTCACAAAGCTCAACTAGCTATGTTAGGGTACATTTACCCTTCTTTTCAAATGGACCGCCTCCGTCCGCCCTGAGAGGTAGTTGGTTCGATCCCCGGTCGCGTCATACCTGGCGTTCGGCATTAAGGGGCTAAAAACAAGGACTAGTATACTGTGTCTTAGGGGTATTCATGTTTAATTGCGGCACGGCATCACTCACGCACGCACGCACGCTATATAAGTTTCACCTCACCTTTTTTCAAATGTGATGCTCACTATGTGTGGACACCATCTCTTCAACGAATATAATTAGTGTTATTTAGCGTTTGATCGAATAGCGCAGTGGGCTACTTGGAGATAATACATGTGTTGGCTTGACAATCATTTAGAAAAAGGAACTTTTCCCTACTTAAAAAAACCCTTGTTTTCTGAAAAGTGAATAGCATTTTTACCTGCTGAATTAGCTTTCTATTACAATGTTGTGCTCAATGAAATAGAAATATTCAAACAATGGTTACATTATTATCATTTTATATCGTTATATCAAAGGCTAGTTGTGTGTTAATACCTATGAATTGGAAATGGGTTAGCTTAAAGGATGTATAGTATCCAACACCACCTCAGTGGTCTAGTCGATAGAGCGTCTTCCCGGAGAGTGGAGGGTTGGCGGTTCGATCCCCGGTCGCGTCAAACCAGATTCTACCCGTGAAAATCCGGGTAAGAATAGGTCTTCAGCAAGCCCTGTCGTAAGAGGCGTCAAACGGGATCGGGTGGTCAGGCTCGCTAACTTGGTTGATGCATGCCATCGTCTCTAAATTGCGTGGATCGATGCTCGTGATATCAATCACTGGGTTGTCTGGTCCAGACTCGATTATTTACAGATCGTCGTCACAGAATGTATATCAGTCACATTAGAACAATTGTTATTTGTTGTTTGTCGTTTCACTGTCTGGCGCTGACATTAAGAGGATACAACAAGGGTTTGATGATCGAAGTCAGTACACATCGGCATGGTATCTCGGTGGGCTTACACTATAAAACTGACATTAGTCCAGACTAGTACAAGCAGCCACGCACGCACGCACGCACGCACGCACACACGCACACACACACACACACATATAAACTGTGTTCAATCTTACTCCACTTATTTAATTATTACTATATTGTGCCTGAGAGTTAGAACTTTACTGTGCTTTATATATATATATATATATATATATATATATATATATATATATATATATAAATAAAGAATAAAGACACACTGTGGTAACACATGAGTGATTGTTAGTTTGTCATTAAGTGGTACACATTTGAAATATCTCTTCTTAAGAACATACTTCCCTATATGTTTGGCTGTGAGTATATCAATGCTTCCAATGGAACCTTTCGCTATGTCTAAGTACGTACCTTACAAACATTTGCAGTATAGAAGTCGTTGGACTAGCAGTAGCAAACAGCCATTAGTCCGGACTAGTACAAGCTGCCACACAGCTATATAATGCACCAATTCCACACCAATAAACATGCTCAAAGCGCTATATTATTACCTGGTCAATGGATCACTGTGCACTCGAATTTTATTCAACCCAAGCTGCCTTATGAGGTTCTAGAAGGTTAACATTCACACAACATCTCATCCTACCATCTATTTTTAAAAGAAAATGCTCTAAAAAGATTAACTGGAATATTAAAACAACAACCGTAAGCCAAGTAACTATAGAGAAAAAGGCCTAATAAGGCACTCACTGCGAGATCGGGCTGATCCCCCACGTTTTAAACTTTTTCTCCGATCCACACTCTCACTTCTGAGCTGCAGTTTTCGAGGGTCACGGTCACAACTTCGTCCAGAGTGTTCTGTAAAATATACATTGAGAATGAGAAAGTATGATTCTATGCACCTTAACAATATTCCAGCAATATCACATATCATGTTAGGGAGTTAACCATGACAAGCAAATGCTTTAACACCTCCACCTTCAGTAAAATGGAATTCATTCCAGAATTATCTCTTATCTGGTTGTATTTTACATTAGTTCAAGATACTCCAGTAGTGGTTACATTTCCCGCCATTAGTTAGGTTGTCAGGGTTGTCTCCCCTAGATTTAACACAATGATTTCTGACCAACAGAACTTGTAGTGATTTTGGTAGCGGTATGCCACAGGGGTTTATTCAGAATCCGCGGCGGAGTACAATGGGCTCACTGTCCTAGGTGTAAAATGGAAAGTAAATTTACATCTATATTTGGAAGAAACACCTCGTATGTGACTTTGCTGTAACTTCGAAAGAATATTAATAAGTCAACGACACCTGACAGCGGGCAGCAGTCCAAATTTGTCATGATGTCTAATAATATAAGACTTGGACAAAAATACGAACACTGATGAAACGTTCGTGTAAATCCGATTGAATTGTTCTTGTTGTTTTCTCCAATTTTCAGTTATTTAAATGACGGATTGTACTTTGTTTATTTCGATTTGCCTTTAAAGTCTCAGGTTGTTTTTTCGTGTTAAATGTAGTGTAATCACCATTAAGTAGGCCGCATAAAACACCTAAACATGTATATGTGTCGGACAAGCGTCACGGACAAGGAACACTTTACATGTACATATGTTTGACTAAAAGCACACATAAATAAAATAATACTGGAAATATGTATTTTGCAATTTGCACAGAAGTCATTTGTATATGTAGTTGACAACTTGCAGAGGACTCACGCACGCCCGCCCGCCCGCACGCACGCACACACACACGCACGCACACACGCACGCACATACGTGCATGCTCGACGCTACATACGAGCAAAGTCTTGAACCCTACGTTAAACCATATTTCACTTCACATCTATTTCTTCGGTCTTGTTGCAGTATCAAAAGCAGTTGGATAGTTTGAGAAAGGGGCTTTGTCGCAATGAAATGAATACCTCTTCGTCCGGGTCCGCCAAATGTCTTTGTAACGTGGTGATGTGTTTAGCAGGGACAATAGATCAAATATGCTATAATTTAGCAACAACAGACCCTCCTTTGTTAAAAGTCACCTTTTTCTCCCAGCTAGTCCTAGTTGTCTAGCAACTACGATTGACAGTGTACCTTGAAATACACACTCCCCATGATAACTTTAGCAAAAGTTATTTTCATGACATTTTGGTTTCGCCAGAAATTATTTCAAAATTGAATGTTATCTGTAATAAGTTACAGTCTTTCATATTTTCTCTTGTGATGTTCAAAGAATTGCTCCACGTGCAATCAAGTACTATATATCTTATTATATTTTATTACGACATCATAGCTTACATGAATGAATGTTGTTTTACGATTATTCATATTGTAACCACCCGAACATTAGTGTAGTCGGATCTTAAGACAAACGCAGGGTACTAGGGATCAATTTTACCCTGAATTCCCACGGGGAAAGGAATGTATTGTTGATCTACCACATGCCCGTAGGGAATAAATTTGATATTAACACACACGCATGACGTTTGCAAAAGCCCACATATCATGTTCATATACTGCATTTTCAAGCAAAGCCACTTTCTGAAAATCACACTCATATATACTAACGGAGAAAAGTATCTGTGCTTCACATAATGTTCAATAAAACATTTTTTTTTCTGAAATTAAGTAGTGCATTTTTCAATACATATTCACCATGACTTTAAGGTGATTGACAGTATGCACCTGCATGTTAATGCAAGGCGCACAATTTGGATGTTTGCGAGTTTGTTGGAGCATGAAACTCATACACGTGGTACATTAATGTGAACAGCACAACATGAATGTTGAGCTATCAGGTGTTCATTAAAGCTCTTTGGCCTAACCGTATACAACGCTTACGCAATGTCACGGCTTGCTTTAAATCATCGTGTACGCGCCGTGGGTATGCTTCAAACAGGAATGGCCGAAAACGAAGTTGCTGGACATTTTAATGTTCATCGAAAAATAAAATCATCTCTTTGGGGACGTTTTCTACAGCAGGGCAATACTCATGACTTTCCTCGGCCGGGCGTCCACGTATGACGTCACGTCAACATGACAACCATATTGAGTTGGTGCATCCTCGGAATCGATACTAAACTGTCATATTAACAGATCGGACAATTCCTGGGTTGAGACCAAATTTAGTGGTCGGATCGATGCAACCGGTTGAGGGAGCACAACGTCCGGCCCCGACGTCAAGCAATACGTCAAACTTTGCTTCCACGGCTCCATCATGCACGCCTAGCATGGTGTAGAGGCTCTGAGGTTCAGAAGACTAGATTGGCAAAGTATACTGTTCACAGGTGAGTCCAGGTTTCAGGATCTGGTGGTCATGCAAGGTTCTACAGGCGTACAGGGGAATTGTTTTTGCGACGCTTGCGTTACTCAACGTCGTCAGCTTGGGGGTGTAAGTGTAATGGTATAGGGTGGCATCACAACTCATGGGAGAACACAACTCATCAGTGTTAATGACAATTTGAGTGGCGTACACTACCTGGACGACATCGCTCGAGATCATGTTCTAACCTTTGTGCAAACGCTGTTTTTAACCATTTGGTGTCTTCAAAGCACCGTGGCTGCTTCGCCTGTATCAACGCAAATGGTGATCACACCCGATATTGACATTGTTAATTGAGGTGTTCCACCACCCCTCTTTTAGGGCGTGTAGCTCTGTCTCCTGTTACCAGGTATGGATTTTGTCAATGAATTTGTTATGATAAACATTGAACAGGCGAATAACCAAATATTATAATTTAAACCACTTTGTAGCTGTTTTTTACGCTGGTGTTTTGCAGGCTTGGCGGGATGAACACTTTTATCGTAAGTGGAGAGAAAATATGGCCATCATCCAAGTATCCCTCGGTCATGAAAAGGATCAAATAATTACATGCTCCAGAAATGCCGCAAAGCGTTCAGCACGCAGCACAGATACTGCATTGTGAGAACATGCATAGACCAAACTAAAGGAGTCATATTTAAAGCCACGGGAGTTGGTCTGCATTCTTAAAGCCACGCCAACTTTATATAATGAAGCACACTCTTTCTCCACGAAAGACACCCACTCCTGGTCGGCTGTTTGTGACACACAATCTTGTAGAACGGGTTTCACGGTCGAATTGTGTCTGCTGCTATAGCTCGGCTTTGTGAAGCGATACTTAATGCCGTGTTAAATGTTTGTGAATCTGTTGACAGTCTGTGTATAATACATGTCCCAATGTATCGACACGGGAGGATTTTGACACACCAAACGCGCCTCAGTTTAACATTTATGTTGAAGAATGGGAAAAATGAAGCCTGACAAAGCACGGGTGTGATGCTGACAAACCTAGAAACATAATTGGGGCGAACCGGGATTCGAACCCACAATCATAGGTTTCTGGCGTGCCCAAGGGACGCAACTCTGCACAGCGAATCGCGGCGCCTTAGACAACTGGGCCACCCTAATGGTATTAGGACTGGGTTGCCAGTCAAACAGTCATATTAAAGGTAGCAATCGATTGCTCGTTTCATGCTCTGGTTAGTTTCAAAACGTAGCCTAAATTATCAGGCTATTTTCAGCGTCATGTGTTTTCTTCTGGTAGTTTTACGGCCAAGTGTATACAACATGTGTCGTGTAGGCCATGTGTAATGTCAGGACTTCCAGTCTTTGGGTACTGCTCGATGACTTCCTTACTTTGGGAGTTTATCCTTAAAAAGAAGAACTATTTCGAAATGAAAAACAACTTACGGAAAAGTTTTTAATGGTCTTCATTAGACATACCCAAATAATGTTCCATTGGAAGCAGTAATGTATCAAGCTTAAGACAGTTCAAATACTATCTTTATTAAAAAAGCCGCTACTAATACTGGAAATGTGACACTGCAAAAGTGTATGTCTCCCTTCGAATGACGTTTAATTGCTGAAGAAGATTGACAGATCTATTCAGATTGACTGCACTTTTCCCTGGCCTTTCCCAACTTAGTGTTGTTTACGGTTCGTGTTTTCATCTGACAGTTTTGATATCCGTATTTAAGAAGACATGATGCAGAACGCGAAATCGCGTTTTCAAAAATCTAGATCAAGATGAAAATATTTTAATGACAACAAATAAAAAGTTATATTTCTACATTCCAGATGGTTTAATGGAAACTACTAGTTGTACAGCTGGAGTGGGTTCCTCATTTCAATTTGCCCACAGTACGTATTGCTTTCAGAGTTACAAACAGGGGGTATTGCCTACATTGTATATTCCCAACAGTGCCTACAATGCCTTTTGCATACAGTTCAGTTTGCACGCGTGTATGTGTGTATGTGTGTGTGTGTGTGTGTGTGTGTGTGTGTGTGTGTCCTCTGCAAGCAAGTCGTCATCTACATATACAAATGATTTCTTTGCATATTGCAAAGTACATATTGCCTGTATTATTTATTTATGTGTGCTTTTCGTCAAACATATGTACATGTAAAGTGCTCCTTGTCCGTGACGCTTGTCCGACACATATACATGTTTAGGTGTTTTATGCGGCCTACTTAATGGTGATTACACTATATTAAACACGAAAAAACACCCTGAGACTTTAAAGGCAGATCTAAAAAACAAAACAATCCGTCATTTAAATAACTGAAAATTGGAGAAAACAACAAGAACAATTCAATCGGATTTACATGAACGTGTCATCAATGTTCGTATTTTTGTCCAAGTCTTATGTTATTAGACATCATGACAGTACTGTCACGTCTCGTTGACTTATAACTATGCTTTCGAAGTTACAGTAAAGTGACACACGAAAAAAATTTTGGATGTAAATTTACTTTCCATTTTACACCTAGGACAGTGAGCCCATTGTACTCCGCCGTGGATTCTAAATGAACCCCTGTAGCATACGACCTGATTCCCGGCAACATGTGGTTATTTCTGTTAGTCCATTTCCTTTCTACGAATCATTAAAGTGTTGAAATAATGACACAACCATTCGTTGTTTCCATTCCATTTCACCGAATATTGATACGCTTTACAAACGGTTCGTAAACATAGATTCGTATTCGTACAGACCCATACACTATGCACAAAACATTCCCTTAGAATAGGTAGCAATAGTGTGTGTCATACCCGCGCTGTGTATTAGGGGTAGCGCTCTATTGACGGTCTCCGCTATTAATCGAAGAGGAGTTATTGTGCAGACACTGCTTTGGGAGCTCCGCTGAAAGTGTTTGTGCAAGCTATACAAATGACAGGAATCTGGTGTCATGTCATAAACACAATCCCAAATCTCGACTCAGAACGTGTTTCTCCTTGGGCGTTGACGAGATCCAACATGGATGACCACTCTCAAACTCACATTTCGGAGACTTAACGCAAATTTGCAGTATATTACGGTAAGATATCAGTTAGATACCTAACGCTAACTTTTCGTTGAATGTATGTCATGCGGAACAAGAATGTAATGAAGGATTGTACATGGGGGCTGCTATATTATCCAGACAGGCTGTCTTGTTGGGGCGATTTGTCCGATACTTTTACGGACTTTGTTTTGCTATCAACGATTAAGATTATGATGTATATCAAACCGAGTGAGTATTTTAGCTTTCATTTTCCTATTGATTCATTCCTACCGTTCAATTCAACGAATATTCATGCCTTATATCTTCATATATGTATTAAAAGTAAATGGTACGTGAGTAAACGCTCAACGTGTTCTTTTTAGTAAATACTATCTATAACAACACACAATTTGAAATGTAAGTAACAGAATAAATACTTTTCATTTTATAGAACATACCCTGATTCGCTATGGCGTCTGAGAGCCTTGTACTGGCGCTTCTTCTGGGTGTGATTGGTGAGTGCAGCCTTAACCATGTAACTGTTGATAGATACAGTGTTGATCAACCTTAACTGACATGTATCTCAACTGAATCTGTATTCCCATTAACGAAAATAGGCTTGCCACATGTACCATGCATATTCAAAGGCAGTATATCTGAAATAATGCTATAAGATACTCTGTAACATGGATACCCACTCTTTGTTTCTTGACATACATACTCAGTACTGTACACTCCCTATTCCTAATATTCCTGGTGATACATACTCAGCACTGTACACTCCCTATTCCTAATATTCCTGGTGATACATACTCAGCACTGTACACTCCCTATTCCTAATATCCTGGTAATACATACTCAGTACTGTACACTCCCTATTCCTAATATTCCTGGCGATACATACTCAGTAATGTGCGCTCCCTATTCCCAATAGTACTGGTGATACACACTCAGTACTGTACACTCCCTATTCCTAATACTCCTGGTGACATACTCAGTAATGTGCACTCCCTATTCCCAATATTACTGGTGATACACACTCAGTACTGTACTCTCCCTATTCCTAATACTCCTGGTGATACATACTCAGTACTGTACACTCCCTGTTCCGAATATTCCTGGTGATATACTCAGTACTGTGCACTCCCTATTCCAAATATTACTGGTGATACACACTCAGTACTGTACACTCCCTATTCCTAATACTCCTGGTGATACATACTCAGTACTGTACACTCCCTATTCCTAATATTCCTGGCGATACATACTCAGTAATGTGCACTCCCTATTCCCAATATTACTGGTGATAGACACTCAGTACTGTACAATCCCTATTCCTAATATTCCTGGTGACATACTCAGTACTGTGCACTCCCTATTCCCAATATTACTGGTGATACATACTCAGTACTGTACTCTCCCTATTCCTAATACTCCTGCTGATACATACTCAGTACTGTACACTCCCTATTCCTAATACTCCTGGTGATACATACTCAATACTGTACACTCCCTATTCCTAATACTCCTGGTGATACATACTCAGTACTGTACTCTCCCTATTCCTAATACTCCTGGTGATACATACTCAGTACTGTACACTCCCTATTCCTAATACTCCTGGTGATACATACTCAGTACTGTACACTCCCTATTCCTAATACTCCTGGTGATACATACTCAGTACTGTACTCTCCCTGTTCCTAATACTCCTGGTGATACATACTCAGTACTGTACACTCCCTATTCCTAATACTCCTGGTGATACATACTCAGTACTGTACACTCCCTATTCCTAATACTCCTGGTGATACATACTCAGTACTGTACTCTCCCTGTTCCTAATACTCCTGGTGATACATACCCAGTAGTGTATACTCTCTATTCCTAATATTCCTGGTGATACATACTCAATACTGTACACTCCCTATTCCTAATACTCCTGGTGATACATACTCAGTACTGTACACTCCCTATTCCTAATACTCCTGGTGATACATACTCAGTACTGTACTCTCCCTGTTCCTAATACTCCTGGTGATACATACTCAGTACTGTACACTTCCTATTCCTACTATCCCTGGTGACAGATACTCAGTAGTGTATACTCTCTATTCCTAATATTCCTGGTGATACATACTCAATACTGTACTCTCCCTATTCCTAATACTCCTGGTGATACATACTCAGTACTGTACACTCCCTATTCCTAATACTCCTGGTGATACATACTCAGTACTGTACTCTCCCTGTTCCTAATACTCCTGGTGATACATACTCAGTACTGTACACTTCCTATTCCTACTATCCCTGGTGACAGATACTCAGTAGTGTATACTCTCTATTCCTAATATTCCTGGTGATACATACTCATTACTGTACTCTCCCTGTTCCTAATACTCCTGGTGATACATACTCAATACTGTACACTCCCTGTTCCTAATATTCCTGGTGATACATACTCAGCACTGTACACTCCCTATTCCTAATACTCCTGGTGATACATACTCATTACTGTACATTCCCTATTCCTAATATTCCTGGTGATACATACTCAGCACTGTACACTCCCTATTCCTAATATTACTGGTGGTACATACTCATTACTGTACACTCCCTATTCCTAATATTCCTGGTGATACATACTCAGCACTGTACACTCCCTATTCCTAATATTCCTGGTGATACATACTCAGCACTGTACACTCCCTATTCCTAATATTACTGGTGATACATACTCAGTACTGTGCACTCCCTATTCCTAATATTCCTGGTGATACATACTCAGTACTGTGCACTCCCTATTCCCAATATTACTGGTGATACACACTCAGTACTGTACACTCCCTATTCCCAATATTACTGGTGATACACACTCAGCACTGTACACTCCCTATTCCTAATATTCCTGGTGACATACTCAGTTGTGTACACTCCCTATTCCTAATATTCCTGGTGATACATACTCAGTACTGTGCACTCTCTATTCCTAATACTCCTGGTGATACATACTCAGTATTGTACACTCCCTGTTCCTAATACTCCTGGTGATAGATACTCAGTTGTGTACACTCCCTATTCCTAATATTCCTGGTGATAGATACTCAGTACTGTGCACTCTCTATTCCTAATACTCCCGGTGATACATACTAAAAAAAATTGTACACTCCCTGTTCCTAATACTCCTGGTGATAGATACTCAGTTGTGTACACTCCCTATTCCTAATACTCCTGGTGATAGATACTCAGTACTGTACACTTCCTATTCCTAATATTCCTGGTGACAGATACTCACCACTGTACACCCCATATTCCTAATATGTCTGGTGATACATACTCAGTACTGTACACTCCCTATTCCTAATATTCCTGGGGATACATACTCAGTACTGTACACTCCCTATTCCTAATGTTTATATATATATATAATGTTTATATATATATATATATATGTCCGGTATTGTACACACTCATATTCATGATATTCCTTGATAAGGATACTCAGTTTTCTACACTCCCTGTTCCTTATAGCCCTTGAAATAGGCACTCAGTAGTGTACACTCTCTAGTACTTGATTAATACACTCAGTACTATAGTAATACCATGTCACAACTTGTCTGTTTGTACAGGGACGTGCTGGGGCGAGGATGAGCCCCCTGTTTTTGTGAACAACATGAGAGGTCTACAAATATCAGAGTCTACGGAAGTTGGTAGGTGAACACAGTTAATCGGGAACATTTAGGTCCATGAGCCAGACCAGATATTGGTACCACCTAGGGTGGCAAAATCTCAGTATGATTTTTTGAAAGTCATATATCCATAGATGAAAAAAACACTTTGAAAGCATTCCGGGACTCACAGCTTAGTAATCACCACATAAAGGGGGACCCCTCAGTCGAATCCACGGGACTAGATTTTAGGGTAGGGGAAACAAGAAAGTGGAATAACTTTTACAAGCAATAGTCATATGGTGAAGTATGACCACTCAAAATGTTGGTAACCTGATGCTTTACATGTTGGTATGTAATATAGGACTATTACAGTAATATGACCTGTGATACAGCTCTTATAAGTAGAGGAGTTATATAAATGTTAAAAATTTATTATTTCACATGTATACATAATACACTGTTTTCTCTAAGTAAAAAAGAATTCTGATTATAGAAGAAAATCTTATGATAAACTAAAGGTTTTGTTTGATATTATACGTGTGTGTTAGAGGCTTGAAATACTTTTATGATTTGTAATACATATTCAAATTATTCTTTCCTATGGTATTAGGCTTTCTCTGATACAACGTTGCCATATCTAGGCTCTAAATATCAAGAAGAAATATATTGTTCATGTGATGATCTAATTCGACTGTTACGAACATATTTGAGTTCTTGCAGGACTATACTGTAGACCGATACACAATCAGACACATTTCACTGACTCCTTACCGACCAGTCCCTGTTTTTTTTCATTTCTCAATTTATTCGCAGAATCATAACAGTGCGATAAGCCCATGTGCTGCTTAACATCATAATGTAGTGACCCTGAACTGCAAATATTGATATATTTTGTTGCTTTGATATTTCCAGGTACATCCGTTTATACGTTGTCCGCAACGGGTGAGGAGCCTATTATATATGACATAAAGGCAGACATGTTTACGGTCAACGCGACAACGGGGGTGGTGACGCTAAGTCGGCCTGTGGATTACGAGTCAGGGGTAAGTGCTGACTGTACCAGACGTAGTCTCGTCTCTACGAGTTATACGTACGCAAGGGAATGTATGTATGTTCACAGGCATCGATGTAGTGGTGAGTGTATGTGTGTATGTGTTTGTGTGATAAATCGTGTCCTTTTCTCGGCCTCTTGCCTTTGGCCCAATAGTAAGTGCGGAGGGCTTGATTCTCACTCGACGCTTACCTTTGGCCCAAGAGTAAGTGTGGTTGGCTTGATTCTCACTCGACTCTTGCGTGTGGCCCAAGAGTAAGTGTAAAGGGCTTGATTCTCATTCGACTCTTGCGTGTGGCCCAAGAGTAAGTGTGGAGGGCTTGATCCTCACTCGACGCTTACCTTTGGCCCAAGAGTAAGTGTAAAGGGCTTGATTCTCACTCGACTCTTGCGTGTGGCCCAAGAGTAAGTGTGGTTCGCTTAATCCTCACTCGACTCTTGCGTGTGGCCCAAGAGTAAGTGTGGTGGGCGTGATTCTCACTCGACTCTTGCTTGTGGCCCAAGAGTAAGTGTGGAAGGCTTGATCCTCACTCAACTCTTGCGTGTGGCCCAAGAGTAAGTGTGGAGGGCTTGATTCTCACTCGACTCTTGCGTGTGGCCCAAGAGTAAGTGTGGAGGGCTTGATTCTCACTCGACTCTTGCGTGTGGCCCAAGAGTAAGTGTGGAGGGCTTGATCCATAGTGACTCCTACGAGTTATACGTACGCAAGGGAATGTATGTATGTTCACAGGCATAAATGTAGTGGTGAGTGTATGTGTGTATGTGTTTGTGTGATAAATCGTGTCCTTTTCTCGGCCTCTTGCCTTTGGCCCAATAGTAAGTGCGGAGGGCTTGATTCTCACTCGACTCTTGCGTGTGGCCCAAGAGTAAGTGTGGTGGGCTTGATCCTCACTCGACGCTTACCTTTGGCCCAAGAGTTAGTGTAAAGGGCTTGATTCTCATTCGACTCTTGCATGTGGCCCAAGAGTAAGTGTGGTGGGCGGAATTCTCACTCTACTCTTGCGTGTGGCCCAAGAGTAAGTGTGGTGGGCTTAATTCTCACTCGACGCTTACCTTTGGCCCAAGAGTAAGTGTAAAGGGCTTGATTCTCACTCGACTCTTGCGTGTGGCCCAAGAGTAAGTGTGGTTGGCTTGATCCTCACTCGACTCTTGCGTGTGACCCAAGAGTAAGTGTGGAGGGCTTGATTCTCATTCGACTCTTGCGTGTGGCCCAAGAGTAAGTGTGGTTGGCTTGATCCTCACTCGACGCTTACCTTTGGCCCAAGAGTAAGTGTAAAGGGCTTGATTCTCATTCGACTCTTGCGTGTGGCCCAAGAGTAAGTGTGGTTCGCTTAATCCTCACTCGACTCTTGCGTGTGGCCCAAGAGTAAGTGTGGTGGGCGTGATTCTCACTCGACTCTTGCTTGTGGCCCAAGAGTAAGTGTGGAAGGCTTGATCCTCACTCAACTCTTGCGTGTGGCCTAAGAGTAAGTGTGGAAGGCTTGACTCTCACTCGAGTCTTGCCTGTGGCCCAAGAGTAAGTGTGGAGGGCTTGATTCTCACTCGACTTTTGCGTATGGCCCAAGAGTAAGTGTGGAAGGCTTGATTCTCACTTGACTCTTGCGTGTGGCCCAAGAGTAAGTGTGGTGGGCTTGATTCTCACTCGACTCTTGCCAGTGGCCCAAGAGTAAGTGTGGTAGGCTTGATTCTCACTCGACTCTTGCGTGTGGCCCAAGAGTAAGTGTGGAGGGCTTGATTCTCACTCGACTCTTGCGTGTGGCCCAAGAGTAAGTGTGGAGGGCTTGATTCTCACTCGACTCTTGCCAGTGGCCCAAGAGTAAGTGTGGTGGGCTTGATTCTCACTCGACTCTTGCCAGTGGCCCAAGAGTAAGTGTGGAGGGCTTGATTCTCACTCGACTCTTGCGTGTGGCCCAAGAGTAAGTGTGGAGGGCTTGATTCTCACTCGACTCTTGCGTGTGGCCCAAGAGTAAGTGTGGTGGGCTTGATTCTCACTCGACTCTTGCGTGTGGCCCAAGAGTAAGTGTGGTTGGCTTGATCCTCACTCGACTCCTGCGTGTGGCCCAAGAGTAAGTGTGGAGGGCTTGATCCTCACTCGACGCTTACCTTTGGCCCAAGAGTAAGTGTAAAGGGCTTGATTCTCACTCGACTCTTGCGTGTGGCCCAAGAGTAAGTGTGGTTGGCTTCATCCTCACTCGACGCTTACTTTTGGCCCAAGAGTAAGTGTAAAGGGCTTGATTCTCACTCGACTCTTGCGTGTGGCCCAAGAGTAAGTGTGGTTGGCTTCATCCTCACTCGACGCTTACCTTTGGCCCAAGAGTAAGTGTAAAGGGCTTGATTCTCACTCGACTCTTGCGTGTGGCCCAAGAGTAAGTGTGGTTAGCTTCATCCTCACTCGACGCTTACTTTTGGCCCAAGAGTAAGTGTAAAGGGCTTGATTCTCACTCGACTCTTGCGTGTGGCCCAAGTGTAAGTGTGGTTGGCTTCATCCTCACTCGACGCTTACTTTTGGCCCAAGAGTAAGTGTAAAGGGCTTGATTCTCATTCGACTCTTGCGTGTGGCCCAAGAGTAAGTGTGGTTGGCTTGATCCTCACTCGACGCTTCCCTTTCGCCCAAGAGTAAGTGTAAAGGGCTTGATTCTCATTCGACTCTTGCGTGTGGCCCAAGAGTAAGTGTGGTTGGCTTAATCCTCACTCGACTCTTGCGTGTGGCCCAAGAGTAAGTGTGGTGGGCGTGATTCTCACTCGACTCTTGCCAGTGGCCCAAGAGTAAGTGTGGAGGGCTTGATCCTCACTCAACTCTTGCGTGTGGCCTGAGAGTAAGTGTGGAAGGCTTGACTCTCACTCGAGTCTTGCCTGTGGCCCAAGAGTAAGTGTGGAGGGCTTGATTCTCACTCGACTCTTGCGTGTGGCCCAAGAGTAAGTGTGGAGGGCTTGATCCTCACTCGACTCTTGCGTATGGCCCAAGAGTAAGTGTGGAGGGCTTGATTCTCACTCGACTCTTGCGTGTGGCCCAAGAGTAAGTGTGGTGGGCTTGATTCTCACTCTACTCTTGCGTGTGGCCCAATAGTAAGTGTGGTTGGCTTGATCCTCACTCGACTCTTGCGTGTGGCCCAAGAGTAAGTGTAAAGGGCTTGATTCTCACTCGACTCTTGCGTGTGTGTGGCCCAAGAGTAAATGTGGTTGGCTTGATCCTCACTCGACGCTTACCTTTGGCCCAAGAGTAAGTGTAAAGGGCTTGATTCTCACTCGACTCTTGCGTGTGGCCCAAGAGTAAGTGTAAAGGGCTTGATTCTCACTCGACTCTTGCGTGTGGCCCAAGAGTAAGTGTGGTGGGCTTGATCCTCACTCGACTCTTGCGTGTGACCCAAGAGTAAGTGTGGAGGGCTTGATTCTCATTCGACTCTTGCGTGTGGCCCAAGAGTAAGTGTGGTTGGCTTGATCCTCACTCGACGCTTACCTTTGGCCCAAGAGTAAGTGTAAAGGGCTTGATTCTCATTCGACTCTTGCGTGTGGCCCAAGAGTAAGTGTGGTTCGCTTAATCCTCACTCGACTCTTGCGTGTGGCCCAAGAGTAAGTGTGGTGGGCGTGATTCTCACTCGACTCTTGCTTGTGGCCCAAGAGTAAGTGTGGAAGGCTTGATCCTCACTCAACTCTTGCGTGTGGCCTAAGAGTAAGTGTGGAAGGCTTGACTCTCACTCGAGTCTTGCCTGTGGCCCAAGAGTAAGTGTGGAGGGCTTGATTCTCACTCGACTTTTGCGTATGGCCCAAGAGTAAGTGTGGAAGGCTTGATTCTCACTTGACTCTTGCGTGTGGCCCAAGAGTAAGTGTGGTGGGCTTGATTCTCACTCGACTCTTGCCAGTGGCCCAAGAGTAAGTGTGGTAGGCTTGATTCTCACTCGACTCTTGCGTGTGGCCCAAGAGTAAGTGTGGTGGGCTTGATTCCCACTCGACTCTTGCGTGTGGCCCAAGAGTAAGTGTGGAGGGCTTGATTCTCACTCGACTCTTGCCAGTGGCCCAAGAGTAAGTGTGGTGGGCTTGATTCTCACTCGACTCTTGCCAGTGGCCCAAGAGTAAGTGTGGTAGGCTTGATTCTCACTCGACTCTTGCGTGTGGCCCAAGAGTAAGTGTGGAGGGCTTGATTCTCACTCGACTCTTGCGTGTGGCCCAAGAGTAAGTGTGGTGGGCTTGATTCTCACTCGACTCTTGCGTGTGGCCCAAGAGTAAGTGTGGTTGGCTTGATCCTCACTCGAATCCTGCGTGTGGCCCAAGAGTAAGTGTGGAGGGCTTGATCCTCACTCGACGCTTACCTTTGGCCCAAGAGTAAGTGTAAAGGGCTTGATTCTCACTCGACTCTTGCGTGTGGCCCAAGAGTAAGTGTGGTTGGCTTCATCCTCACTCGACGCTTACTTTTGGCCCAAGAGTAAGTGTAAAGGGCTTGATTCTCACTCGACTCTTGCGTGTGGCCCAAGAGTAAGTGTGGTTGGCTTCATCCTCACTCGACGCTTACCTTTGGCCCAAGAGTAAGTGTAAAGGGCTTGATTCTCACTCGACTCTTGCGTGTGGCCCAAGAGTAAGTGTGGTTGGCTTGATCCTCACTCGACTCTTGCGTGTGGCCCAAGAGTAAGTGTAAAGGGCTTGATTCTCACTCGACTCTTGCGTGTGTGTGGCCCAAGAGTAAATGTGGTTGGCTTGATCCTCACTCGACGCTTACCTTTGGCCCAAGAGTAAGTGTAAAGGGCTTGATTCTCATTCGACTCTTGCGTGTGGCCCAAGAGTAAGTGTAAAGGGCTTGATTCTCACTCGACTCTTGCGTGTGGCCCAAGAGTAAGTGTGGTGGGCTTGATCCTCACTCGACTCTTGCGTGTGACCCAAGAGTAAGTGTGGAGGGCTTGATTCTCATTCGACTCTTGCGTGTGGCCCAAGAGTAAGTGTGGTTGGCTTGATCCTCACTCGACGCTTACCTTTGGCCCAAGAGTAAGTGTAAAGGGCTTG